CCTTTTTAAACAGATATGGTTATGTAGTTAACAATCTTGTTCCATTAAAACAAGCAATTTGACGTGACTCTTTCAATCTCTCTTAGATAAATTTACGTTTAAGGCTGTGATGATGTGAGGATGGAGGCTAATTCTGAAAAGTGCCAAACATCTCAGCCTGCTTGTCATGTCTATAACCAAAGCCCCTTAAATGACGATAGAGCTTTAATTACACACTTTGTTCATTAACACGTTCTACTCCACATGCTAACAAGTCAGCGGTGTGCTGTATTTTGGGATGTGTCTAACTATGTGTGTGTGTGTGTGTCAGTTGTCATTGCTGTGATCCAGGAGGCAAAGGAAGGCACGCTGTTAGCAGATATATAAAACTTCAGCAGAAGTTAAAATGGAAGTGCGCCTTTCATAAAATGACTGACTACATCTCATTTATTAATCTTAGGGCAGCTGTACTGCACATGTATGTATGTGCAATTCCATTTAATGTGGTCTGTCCCATTTATTTTTAATTTATTATGAAGGTTGTATTGAAGAGTTAATTTGAGTTTGTGCATTGACCGTGGTTGATTATTCTGAAAGGCACTTTCAGTGCTCCTGAAATTAGGTTTAATTTCCACGTTGAAAACCTGTTATGTGTTTTATAGAAAAGATACAAATCATTACCTTGAATCCATAGTGGCATACATGTTGGATATTACGAATCTTCAGTAGATGTTTTCTGTATATTTCCACTGGCTTGAACCTTTAGGACTCACAAAGCTGCTTCTATTTTATCATTACCTGAATGTATTAACTATATATTTTTGCCTGGAAATATTAGCAATGGCCAACAAAAAGAGAGTCCTGCTCATTTCTCATGTTGATTAATATGTGCAATGAACATCACTCAACCCTGAAAAGCAGAGAAAAGCTTGAAGCGCGGCCCTACTTCATGCGTCTGGGCTACGGACTGCGCAGGTAATGGTTTATTTGGTTTAATAGTGCTTGTCTGAGCCGTGTCCTCCTACAGACAACTGATAAGAATGAAGGCCGGCACAAAGAGATGTGAGCCCTCTGCAACTGAATAGAACTGAGCTCGCCCGCTAATATCCATCATTCAAGTATTTTCTCCTTGCAGAGGACATTTGGACAATGACGCGCAGAGGCTTAGAAAGATTACTGAACCAAGAGTTTGCTCTTCTGTGGGTTTCTTTCTGGTTGGTGCTTATTTTAGAGGTTATTCACCACAAAATCTTTTCCCATGTGGAAATCAAACAAAAGTGGTTTCATAAAAAACATTTGTTAATACAAAAGGTTCTGCTGCAGTACTCATGTTGAGGTGCTGAACCCTGGATCCTCTGGTTTTTTAGAAAATAAGAAAAATAATGTTTTGCTGCTGATACATTGGGTCACAACTGTAAGTTACAACTGCACCATGATTGTTCTGAGCCGATGGGAGGAAAGCAGTGACGTAAGATATTGCCATAGGGCTGCAGCAGTCCTTTACATCTCTTGTTGGTCTATTTTTATCCAGTGGATTAAGTATTTTCTTTTCATCCTTTGATACAATACAGCAACATGTAAGTCTCACTTTGCTGGGACATATGAGAAATATGAATAAGCCTGGAGACACGCAATTTATTTCCTTATCTGTGAGACTTGTCTTATAGTCACTTCTTTGAATAATTTGTATGTATATATTAACAATAGATGAATTTACTATGTGTTATCCAAAAGAAGTTGTTCATAGAGAACCAAAGAGAATTGGCCCATTTTGTGCTTTTCGGGTCTTTGTTTCCCTTTAATGGTGTGGTTTGCTTTTTTATTTTCCATTTAGCTGTTTTGACAAAATATGTTGATGTTGCTGTTGAACTGATTTACAATTCCAACAAGGAAATAATATGAAAAAACACTGCAGGCTTCATAATATTCTGTAGGGACCAGGTCAGGTATACTCTACTGAACAGAATAACTACAAAATCATGCAATGTTCCAGGTTAATTAAAATGTTAAAAAGCATATGTTGTCTCCTTTCCAAGATATATGTTCCATTGAGTCTGCAGTCCATAAGCAAGCTGTTAGAGAAGATACCTTCGGTCTAATTAGCCGTTCAACTACAAGCACCTTCATGTCTTTCCTCTGCTGCAGGAAGCTCCATCATCCATCCCTTATCTTTCTTTCCAAAGGTAAGTACTTGCCTTTATCTTGTCTTGTTACTTTTCCAGATATTTTAGTTCTGCGTTCCTGTGTGCAGGGCGTCACCTGTGCCGTAGCGAGTAGTTTTAGTCTACGGGATGCATTAATGTGAGACGATGGTTTCCTTTCATGCCAGAACGCACTAGCAGATAGATGTCAAAGACTTTCATTCATCGGTCAAGTTAATGTTATTTCATAGTTCTAAAAAAGCTCAGACGATGGACATTTGTGGTAAAAAAACAAACCTCTTTATTTTAAAACGTACTTCCATGCATCCATCGTTTCTTATGAGATGTTGTCCATCCCTGAGTGCAAATCATGTAGGATCTTCAGTTGACTTCAGTTTAAACGCCTGATATTTGATTTTCTACAGATGTTTTCACGTTTCTTACCCTCCAACAGGGTCATATTGAAGCAACATCAACTACTATAAATACACGTTGCCAAGGTAACTAGCAAGTTGGAGAGGTACGTTGTTTGTGTGCACCGATAAGCATCTTGGTGTCTTTTGAAAAAGGATCCGACCACCTCAGCCAGCCCTTACTTTTGGGACAGAAAAGCAGGCATACGTGTGTGTGTGTGTGTGTGTGTGTGTGTGTGTGTACAATTCCCTACAACCAAACGCACCATCACACCCAAGGAATCCGCAGACAACACACGCCTCTGCCCTGAGCCCCGGCACGTATAGAAACAAGTTGTGGTATGTTCTTGAAATCATTTTTCTCTCATGGAGAAGATACATTTTACTTTTAATACAGTATCCATGCTTCATTCAATGTTGATGACAAATGTAATTCAATTTGCCTGAAACCAAGCTTTTACTATCCATCTACAATAGAGGAGTACAAGCAGAGAGATTACACTGTAAAGGGCGGCAGCAGATTGCCCCTCCCTTTGTGCAATGCGATGCGGGAAAAAGAAGATGGTTGGATTGAAAGAAAAAGACACGTCCTATGATCACATTCCAGCTGTTCTCATTCTGTCAAGGCAGACACATACGTTCATCGTGGAGCCACTTCAGGGTGTCACATCTTCCCTCTTTCCATTTCTAAAAAAATTCACACATTTCCTCGTTATTTTTTAATTAATACAATTTGCTTTAGGATTGATGTTGATCGTTAGGTCTGGCTTCCCACAGAGTTTTATCACAACTAACGAGGGCACAGAAAAAAATGAACCACCTTAACGCATCGGCAAGTGTGGGCTGAACAGAAAGTGCACCAGCGTTAAGGCAGAATGGGTTGCAATTTATGAACTGTGAAGATAGGCATTTTTACATTGAATTACATTTATTTTAGCTGACAATTTTATCCAAAGCTACTTCCAATAAGTGGATTCAATCCTTAAGATGCAGGACCAGAACAACAACAATCAAGAAAGTAAAATTTCTTCAAAGAAGCCAAACTTCAAAGTGCTATAATTAAGTTCCATATTAAGTGCTATTACCTAGTCAAGGTATAGTCAGAGGTTTTAGTTTGCGTCAGATGATGTTGGACATGTCAAATGATTAGTTTCTGCTGTTCTGATGTCATTGAGGAGCTCGTTCCACCATTTAGGGGCCATTTTCCTCCCTTCTGACGCCACACAGAAGCTGTTCATAATTGAAGTAATTTTCAAAGCAGGGTGGAAATGATAAACCTCCACACCTAATGTGACACCTCTTTGATTCTTTCTTCCTCCTGCTCTAAGTTTATACACTCACATTATGCTCATCATTTGCATGGTAAATGCGATGTTACATTTAAATTTGAACTCTTCTCCTTTCTCTCCCATGCAGGGACCTTTCACCAATGAAAGCAAAAACAAGAAGAAATTGTTTGTCTGCGGTAAAACAAGAAGGTCAGTGAGTCTCTTGTTGGCTCCTGAAAACCTGATGAGAGAAGGATCAATACAAAGAAGAATGCCAAGCTGTAGATATATTCAATATGTATTAGAAATAAATAGAGTGAGGAAAGCACCCCAAAGTTTTCAGAAAATTGAAGGTAGGACTAATCAAATGATCTTTGGATCTCTGGACCCCCAAATAATGTGGCATTTTTATAATAATAATAAAAATATATATACATACATACGTGTGATGCAATTAATGCAAACTATTGTCTCTCTTGTGTAATTTATAACTCGAACATGCTACATATGTGTGTGCGTTATATGCAAACATGCCACTCACCTCTGGGCTAAGCCCCCCTTTCTTTGAATCCTAGAAACACCCCTGGGGCAGGGGCTGCCCTTTGTGTTTGGGTATATGTGTGTGCCCAAATGTAAAGTACGTGTTGGTGTTAGCGCATGTGCAGGTGACAAATGCTGTAAATACACCGTGAGCTGAATCAGAGTCTCCAGTCAACCTGAATACAAAAGACCAAAACCTTTTGGATTTGCGGTGATTCATTTGCATCAAACCCAAAATTGGTTCACTAACCATACATATTCTAAGATCTGGGTTATACCAAATGATAGCCAGAAAAAAGGAATTAGATTAGGCTCTACAGGCCGTAGAATGTTGTGGAACACAAATGAGATCATCAACACAGCCATCTTTATTTAATTCAACATACCATTTTATGAAATTTCTGCTTGTACAAGTTCTGGAAGCGTGTGCAGGATGTTGGGAAGGATGGCCAATTCTGCTTCATTGTTAATAAGACTGTATCATATGAACCTCCTCTGAACGATGCACAAAAAATGGATGAATCCCACTGCGCATTTGCCCCGCCCACACGCTGAGATCAGCCAATCCCTGCTCTCCGTTTGGAGCCGACACGCTCTCTGTTGGACAAGTCTGACAAACCGTTTGTCCGCCACAACGGAAAAGTAAGATGAGATGTTCAATTTTAACCATAGCAATGTGCCTTCAGGTGTCTTCTACGTTTCTATACAATAGTTTTTGTGTATAGCGTCCAAAAGCATATTTCCTGTAGAAAAAAGGCGTCGCTAAGGTGTCACGGCTTGAAGCGAACGTTAATTAATCTAACGCTACTTGCTGCGCGAGGTCTCTTTGAGAGCGGCCTCGCGGCGGTCAACCTGTGCGTCAGCTAACTACAGGTAAGACGGTTTACAATTAAAACGATTACGCTTTAATGTAACTTATCTTAACCCAAAGGTGTGTGGGTTGTTGTGGAGGGATGGGCTTTAACACAGTTGACATGTTATGTTATCGCTATATAGGCGAATGATCCGTCTTAAGTGATGTTGAACGCTCGCTAACTCGTAAATTGCGAGGTTTAACTTCGTTGCTTATGTAACCAGGTTCGGTTTGTAGTTAAGAAGTTGGTTAAAAGCTGACGTAACCTGTAGTCCAATGAGTAACCGAATTTAGCAAGCTTCCCAGTTGCGCTAATTTAACAGAAGCCTTCGATAACTCTGTTGCAGTTGATATGAACTTTGTTGCTAACGTTACACGAAAACAGGAGGAACAACGAGATGCACCAACGCAACTTGTGCCCAAGAGAGGAGCCGTGTGCTGCTCGGAGGGTTTTTGGTAAGTTTATATCAGAATGCAATTTATTACGAAGTCTGTCCAGCCGCTGGTATTGCCTCTGGTGGCAAGACTAGCAACCACAACAGCTAACGCGCTAACGCGCTGACTGTGAGCTGTTCAGCTGGCCGGCGGTCCCCGTTTCCCAGTGACGTCAATCATTATCAGGAGGAAATGGATACAGTAGTTAAGGTTCAATGAGTGGAAAAATATTTTCAATGTAGAAGTGGAACGAACAACACAAAGTTAAAATGTCATGTAAAAGGTAAGAGAAAGGAGATGAAGGAGATTGTGGTGAGGATTAGGAAAGGGAGGAAGTGTGGTAGGAAAGGATGGTCATATTTCTTTTTTCTTCACCAGTAGTTGTAACCACTGGCACTCGCATTGTCTCCCGCTGTCATACTGACATTCAGCCTCCGTTTTAGAACAGTAATAAAATCTCCCAAATACATGCCCATACTAATTAAATCAGGTTAGACACCGCTTTAATGATCGCCATAGGGAAAGGTCTTTATAGAAGGCAAGAAAGGATTTTGATAAGAACAGAGACAATGGTGCGTATGAAAGATAAAACATATACAGCAGAATGCAGTGAGCTAACAATTCAATTGTTGTTTGGTCTAGGTTTTTACAGTTCTGAGAATTGGACACGTTTAACCTCTCTGCGAAAGTCTTGAAGTGCTACAAACGGGTGGAACGCAATGGATCATTACACTCCCGCTTCAGATTGCATTACAGATTGGATTCACAGCTCGTATCAGAACAGAAAAAGGGAGCAGATTTTTGCATTTGGAAATCCTCTGATCATGATTTTTTGCTGCTGATAGATGGGAGAAAGGGATTATTTCTGATGTGTTTTTTCATAGTACAGGTGTACATGGCTCCAGTCCCTCTTTGTGTGGATCAGTTTCTTTTCAGGGACTCAACTGTAACATCAAATTAAGAATGATCTGGAAAAAGTTGATTTTTGGTAGAACTGATACGTTTAACGAGTTGCAAATGACACAGTTCATGTGATGCATTGACTATTTGCTTGGTTAGTATGTATGTGTGTTTTGGTACCTTATTGGAGTGGTCGCCTTAAATAGACTTTGAACCGTACTTAAGTCTGCACTTTAACCTCTGCACTCCAAATCGGTAGTTGATGTTAAGAGTGGGTTTAAGGAAATCTACTTTTGTCAACACGTGTCTCAGCGTGTCTCTGCTGAACCCTATTTCTGTGCTACAGCGTCACGTGTGCGTCAGCTAGAGTTCTTTCCTGCTCGGAGTCGCTCAGTTACAGAATAAGTTAACATTCAGTTATAAAATTCAATTTAGCTAGCAATCAAATCATTTCTTAAATACATTCTTTGTTGACTATTTTCCTCTACTCACTACTGCTCTGGATTTGTGGATACATTTTCTTTTATTTCCCTCCAGATTTATAAATTCATCATTCAATAAAAGGCGAAATTAGCCTGGCCATTACATACAAAATAGCTTTCTTGGAGGCATCCTAATTCTCACAAATAATTATGAAAAAACATTTTAAATTAATTTCTCAAAGTTTTGATCGCCGAACATAATGCACACTAAACCCACAGTCAATGATCTTGGTTTGTTTAAAGAAAAGTCTTTATTCACTTATTAGTGAATAAAGGCAGCTTGTAATGTCGCTGTTGCGGCTACAATTTGATTCAGGTTCTCTTTGCAATGCTTGAAAATGTTAACTCATCTTTTCACACATTTGTTACTGATAGATTTACTTCTTTTATTCAATTTATTTATTCAATGTTTAAAAAAAAAGATGAATCATTACAAACATGCCTTGTTTTGAAAATCACAGTTAGTCACAGTGACAAAGAAAATGTTTCTGAAGAATAGGTTATTGTTTTATAATTGCACTGTATTCCTCTGAATTGGAATCAAATAGCGAGGTGCCTTCAGTTCCCACCACTCAACTAGTGATAACTGTTTAACAATATTGTCTTTAAGACTATTCTTTCTGCTTGTATGGACAAAGTGAAGGGATGACATGCGGTTTGATGGTGGTGGTTATTTCAGTTCTTAAAATCCTCATCACCTCTGGGATTGAGCTCAATTTGTGTTTCATGAACATGTCCTTCCCTATATTTCTCTGCATACTACTACATAAAGAATACTGCATAAATGTCAGTGGTGTAATGTTTCCTATTTATTTCCTCTCTCTCTCTCTCACTTGCTGACTTCTCTCTGCTGCTGCACCTTCTTTATCTTCCTCCCCTCCCCCTTAGCCCTCTCACCCTCCCCTTTCCCTTCACTTCCCTCCCACTTCTCTCCCTCCCAGTAAAGAGCACTCCGTCTCTGAGCTTCATTTCCCGCTCCAACATGTTGGCAGGAGGAGAGAGAGGAGGATGCTGCGCTCTACACTTGGCGCGTTCTTGCCACATCTCCGGCCGTCGCACGCTGCCTCTGACTCCGCCTCAGCTTTCAGTTGTCTTCGCCTGAGGGACTTGAGGCAGGAGGTGGAGGACGAACCAAAGGATAAGCTTGAGATCAGGAACCCTCATACCAGGGTCCCCAAAAGGAGCAACAATCGCAAGAGAGCTGAACAGAGCAACTGCTTCTCATTTGTGGTGGAAACTACTAATACCTCAGCAGTGACCGCCTCCTCTGGTTTCCCTCCCTCCTCTTCCCCCTGCTCGGCTCCAAGATCCATGTGGCAAGAGGCAATAAGGAGTAAGCAGTACCTCCTGGGCCGGGCCGGGGAGTCTGGGGAAGGGGATAAAGGAGGTGGAAGAGGTCACACGAAGAGGATTAGGTCCCCTGATTGGCTGTATGAGTCCTACTACTGTATGAGCCAGCAGCATCCTCTGATTGTGTTTCTGCTGCTCATAGTGATGGGAGCCTGTCTGGCTTTGCTGACTGTGTTCTTTGCTTCAGGACTGGTAAGTTGCTCTTTTACTCAACGACACACAGATGCATTCAGTCAAACAAGCAGTACAAAAGAAGGCATGCACATGTGGAGCATACGCACACACGTTGTACATTTTCCATAAGCAAGTAGCTTCCAATTATACGCGTGCAGAAACAATATCTACTGGTGTGAAGCAAAATACACAAGCTCTCTCAAAGACTTAAACACACATACAAACATTCTTGTGCAACACCTACAGTATATGCGCTGACACTCGCAGCATGCGGTCCTCATCGTGGCACTAATGTGAAGAGAAGGGTGAGATCAAAGTGAGGGGGAATGGGGGGGCTTAGTTATTGTCGGAGCTCGTCGTTGACTGAACTACAGACAAACTATCTGTTTGTGCATTAAAAAAATAAATGTATGGCCTAATGATATATTTACACAATCCATCTAATGATGGATTTTAGAAGATTAACTTTGCATACATCACGTTTGCCTCATCATTAGAGTGTGCTATTAGTAATTAGTCTAAAATGCACTGAAAAAGGCAGAGAGAGCACTGACGCACACAAATCCCAAAACACCCCTGAACTGAAATAGAATTCAAAGTTTTGGTTGATTTTATTCACAAATAAAATCCATTACCTAAGAGATTTTCTGATAGTCGATCACATTTTCATAACCGCCTTCACACTACCGCCATAGGGATTATCAGAATTTTTACTTGTTCCCTTAACTACAATTGGAATGTGTGCCAATGAATGACCTAATTGATCATTTTTCTCATTCTGGTAGGGAGCCTTTTGTGTTAAAGCTGTGGTGAAATGTGACAGTAAAAGCAGCGCATGGCTGGAATATTAATCTGGATTTGGAAACAATGGTGCTCCAGAATGGCAAAGAAAGTCTTTGAAATCCCTGTCTTTAAAGTAAACTGCCTAAAATCTGACATTACCAATATATTCTGCTATGTTTTTGGCTCAGAAAAAAGGAGCATCTGAGTAAAAGCCTTTTCTTGTCAGGCCACTGCTCATTCTATCGTCATAGATCCTCTTTATGTGCATGGCTTTTCCTACTCCTGTTTTTTTTTTTTTTTTTTTCTCCGTCATCCCCCTTTCACTACAGTCTCGTGTCTCTGTCATCTCCCACCTCCCGATAGTTCTGTCTCTTTTAATTGTATTCTATCATCCCTCCATTCTGCTTGCTGGCTGACCTAAATCCTGTGCTGTTTTGGAGCACTGCTCTGGGCGAGACAAACTCTCTGTGGCTTTCTGCAGCCACACACATCCTCTGCTGTCCCAGTGCATTGACTGAAAGAGACAGAGTGAAGGTGGGGGTGGGGGAGAGATGGAGATGGAGAGGGAGAGGAAGAGGACAACTGCAAATAGCAGTGTGAGATGGATTGACATAAGACTGTTTTGATTGTTCTAAAAACAATGATGGCATGAGTAAGAATTTGCTTAAAAACAACATATTAACATATTCTGTTTTCAAATAACAGAATATGATTTAATGTCTACAAAATTGATACATTAACAATTTTCCAAACACTATACACATGTCATTTGCATGAAAATACAAAATAAGTGTGTGAGTCGAAACAAAGCTGTATTTATGGATGGGCACAAAATGTTTCCTAGTGGAAAAGCAATGATTCGATGAAAACAGATTGGCAGAGCGAGGTCTTACAAACAGCTATTCTCCTACATCCACCTTGATGAAACTCCTGAAATTTTTATTAGAACTTTCAAATCTAAGTGTATTTCAGAAAGGCAGCAGCAAATCCATTATGGATGTGGCTTCAACCTGACTACCGGTTAACGCCAGTTTTTCTTTTTTTTGTTGTTTATTTGTATTTGCTGTTTCTCGGGGTGATTCATATTTCTGCTTTGGTTTGGTTTGGTTTGTATTTTCAGGACAAAGGGGGGCATTTTTATTTATTTTATTTTATTTATTTTTTTACAACAAACCGTCTTCTAAATGTTCTTTTGTTTTTTCCCTTTTCAAGCAACCACAGTTTACTCGTTAATTATTCTTCCTTTCTTTGCTTAGTAAGTCTCTCTCCCTCTGTTGAATTGACTGTCTACGTTTCATTTTGTCCTTTTCAGAACGTTGAGGACCACGTGGCCTTTGTAATCACTGTGCCCACAGCGCTGGCCATCTTCCTGGCTGTTTTTGTACTTGTCTGCATTGAGTCCATCTTCAAGAAGCTTCTACGTGTTTTCTCCCTGGTCATCTGGGCCTGCTTGGTTACCATGGGTTACCTCTTCATGTTTTCTGGCGGTATTATCTGTCCGTGGGATCAGGTAAGACACAGACACGTCATTTAATCTAATGTATCCATATTGAATTATTTTTTTGTAGAGTAACATGTGCATTGCTCCTAAAATCTGTGATTGATTGGTCGCACCCGTTTGCCTAACATTTAGTGTGTGGGGGGGTGAAATAGTGTTGTACTCCTCTAGGAAACATTTCAGCTTTTTAAAAACATACCAGTGATTGAAAATGAATGCAACCAGTGGTTGACCACGCGCTGGTTATATAAACATTATGCTGCGTGAAACGTGTGGTTCTCTTTCATAATATCCGTTGCAGATCTTATGCAAAAAATCAAATAACACAATTCTAGCCACAATTGGCTGGACAAAGAGAACCCTCATATATATATATATATATATATATATATATATATATATATACATACACACACGTATTAGGCCATTCATCGCTCAAAACCTTTTATTTTTTACTTTCTATTTTATACGCTGTCGATCTTTTGTGAGAAAAGCTAAACTGTCCACGCACAACTCTGTCAGCAGGCACTGTAGTTCAAGATCCTTAGCAATACTCTTCTATGCCAACTTTGGTGTAAGGTTGTGATACTGTTGTCTTGGGAAGCATCAATACTTTAGACAATGAAAGGTATAAATAATATACATGATGATTTAGATAACATTAGCAATACTGTCCTCTTGAAGCAATACCTTGCTGTCTCTTGTTGATGAGACCGCAAACAATGTTGACGTGTGATATAGTTGGATGACTTTGAGCTGCTATGATTACAAAGCATAGGATTCCATCCTTTCTAACGCTCTGGGCGGTGACCTTTTCCTTTTCCATTGTCTATCCTGGATCGTGACGTGCAGGATTTGTAAACTCAAGTCCAGGTGGCCCCACCGCCCTAGAGGTCCCAAATATCCATTGATAAAAAGCCAAATCCCCATTCAAGATCTTAAAACGCACCGCCACTGCCTTGCGCTGCCAAGACAGCGAGAAGATGTGGACCGGCCTAGAAGCTTTTCCTTTTGTGGTGGAGCGGGCCCATTCTGACCCATTGTCCCACAGCGCGTACGACTCTGACCTGTTCCACTCAGAGTGCAGAACCTGTTGACACAAATGTCGCTGTGGCTGTAGCTGTCGTTCTATATGAGCGTGAGGATTCAAAGCGGTTCAAGAGGAGATCCCACGTAGCTTGGGAAGAGATCAGCCGTTTGAACAGATAGATGTACTCCAGGTTTTCACGTTTCTTGCGTTTGGACGGAGGAGGAGTGATTGATTTGGTCTGGGTTAGGATTTTTTTAACTTCTTAATAACAAAGAGAAATCCTACTCAATCAGGTGATCAAGATTGCAGAATGATCCCAGCAGCCAAGGAGTCCTCAACGTACTTCTCATAGCCTTAATCTCAGAGGAAGAAAGGAAAAAGAGTAGTGGGGAGAAGCCGACTACGAGGTTAATGGATGTGTGATCCTGCAGAAGAGACAGCCATCTAGAGCTGTGGCTTGGACATGTTTAAGTAGACTGATTTGTGCACGTGTCTAATTTGAGCGAGTGAAAATATATCTTCAGCCGACATTCACAAAAAATATGTAATTGGTAAATCTCTAATCCCCTTTATCATAGCTGAACCCTGATAATGGACAAAAACGTTTTTGCTGCTCGCAGTCATTGCTGTGACCGGCTCTTCTGCTACCATATGATCACATTGTGTTGATGTATGGTAGCTAATTTGACAATTGATGCTCTTTGTCTGTGTTTTTTGTTTATGAACTGCATCCTTTGCTGCATTTCCTTTTAATAAAAAAAGGAATATAACTGATGGTAGATGGAGGAGAACTGTATGTCAAAGGCCATGAATGTTGTGACGCCAATGACGCACCGCAGAACGAAGTCATCAGTTACCCATTCTTTATTATTGAATATACAGAATTTGTATTACATATTACTGTTTGAGTCAAAAGACTCGTATGTCAGAGTAATGCTGGGGGTCGGGTAGTTTGAAGGAAGCCGGGGCCTGTGAACAGGAGTAACACTGCTATATGCTGTAGCAACATTACATCTTCAGTTAAATGTGGCGAGACCAACAAAGGGCAGCATTTGGATTACTACAGCCATATGCGTCCTGCAACATAAGTCATTGAAAGCAGCACAGTACATTGGTTCTTCATTGATGGAAAGCTGTACTTATTCAACAGCCCTAGACCAGACAGATGTCTAGTTTGGCCTTATCTTTTACAAATGGGTAGATAAATATGCACAGATTCACACCCCAAACCAATTTATTCCTTTCATGTGCTTATTAGAAATGTCAGGCCATTATGTAAATACTGCTCCTTGACTGTTGAATGGTATGCTCTTATCTCGAGCAACATGATTGTTGACTGGCATTGCTCTCTGTTTAAGGGGCTTGCTGCCATATTCTTTTTATTTCATTTATTTTTCCGCGACAATGCACACCAATCAACAGTGGCACTCTAAGTGAACAAGAGTTAGCCAGAGAGGCTAATTTCCATCTTCTGTCACCGGGCAGATATTTAAGGCTGCCTAAAGTAACAATCTCCAAAGGAAACAAAATTAAAATGTACAAACGGACGACAACAACGTATAGATAACCTGTGCTCTTGCTCTTTAATTACGTACACCTTGCTTGTAAAAGGTTGGATCCTTTTTGGCCTTGAGAACTGCCACATTGACATGACGGCATCACGCAGTTCCTGCAGATTTGTCGGCTGCACGTCTATGATGCGAATCCCCCCGGTCCACCGCGTCCCAAAGGTGCTCTATTGGATTGAGGTGGGGTGACTGTGGAGAACATTGGAGTGCAGTAAACTCATTGTCATGTTCAAGACACCAGATGATGTGAGCTTTGTGACCAGGTGCCTTATCCTGCTGGAAGTAGCCATCAGGAAATAACACCGTGGTGATAAAGGGATGAACGTGGTCAGCGACAATACTCAGGTAGGCTGCAGCATTTAAATGATGCTCAATTGGTACTAAGGGGCCCAAAGTGTGCCAAGAAAATATCTGTCACACCATTAAACCAGCAGCAGCCTGAACCGTTGATACATGGCAGGATGGATCCATGCTTTAATGTTGCTTATGCCGAATTCTGACCCGACCATCTGAATGTCGCAGCTGAAATCAAGACTCAGACCAGGGAACGTTTTTCCAATCTTCTGTTGTCCCAGTTTGGTAAGCCTGTGCGACTTGTACTCTGTTTCCTGTTCTCAGCTGACAGGAGTAGCTTATTTGAGTTGCCTTTCTATCATCTCAAACCAGTCTGCCCATTCTCCTCTGATCGCTCGCATCAACAAGGCACTTTTGTCCACAGAACTGCCGCTCACTGGATATTTTATTATTTTTTTTGCTCCATTCTCTGTAAACCCTAAAGATGGTTAGCCAAAATACATATTTTGAGATTTGTGTTGTCAAAAAACCCCACCATAACTTCATTAATGAATAAATTCTGATGTTCACATTTAGTAGAACAATCCATCAACTAATTTAGAAAATAATCTAATATATTGAAACCGTTTTATAGTTGCAACCCTGCACTCGTATCGTATGCTTTGCTTTTCATGGACCATTATTTTAAGCTCAGTATGTTTAATTTAGCATACAGTGCATGAGTAAAAAAATTTTGTTTTTCAATTTTGTTTTTACTATTATTTGTTATAATAATAATAATAACCAAGTTTGAATGTGTGGTCACCCCAATGCTGCTGTGCAGTTATAAAGTGGATGTCTGTTCCAGAAATAGAACTAAAGGAGGCGTAGAAAAACGAGTTACATCATTAAATGCTGTGTGTGCTGTAGAGAAGAGGTCGTGAGAAGTAGGGGAATGAAAATGTGATTAAAGTGAGGGGCTCATGTTCTCCCACTGCCTCACCTGTCATGTATGGCTCATTTAGGATGATGGCTTTTATTCCATGTCATCCAAACGGTGACACTGCTGCTAGTCAGTCAGTGGAAGTTGCTTTGACATAGCTTATGTCAAAACAAATATTTGCTTATTTTAAAACAGTTTTGAGTAGAAAGAGGGTGGCAGTGGAAGATACAAAGGCAACGATAATGAAGAATATTACCATTTTGTCAGTTGCATAGTAATGTATTTAAATTATATAGCTCTGGTTCAAACACTTACTGGCTTAGTGGCAGGAATTGAGCTGAAAAACGTATTTATGTCAACATCCACATAACTGTCAAGACGCTACAACAGAAGATGGTTACAAAACAAACTGCACAGTCCGTACAGGTAAAAAGAATCTCAATGGGTCCAAGTTTTTCCTTCGCTATGCTGTACTCCTATCCACAAGCTCCCAGAATTAGTTTGTACACAGTACACTCTTTTTTTCCAACCTGTACTCATTTGGATGCTTATCCTCTGCCACGAAGCTCTGTTTGCAGACGATGGCAAGATGTGCTTATCTGTGTGGTCCAGCCTCTGTCTGGACCCTGCATTATCTCCTCCGCTCCCTTCTTTCTGTGTCTCTCGATCCCTCCCGGTCTGTCACATGCGCTCCTTTGTGAGTATACAGACGGCCTCATTAGGCTTTAGGAGAGATGAGGAGCTGAAGGAAGAAGCCTGCCCGTATGGAATCGTAAAGAGGAGGGTAGATGGCGAAAGTAGGACAGGAAATACTGACGGAGAAGACCGCCTACTAGATGGGGGTAATACAAGAGAGGGAGACAGTGGAACAGACTATATTTTAATTTATCTCTGGGATGAGCGGCCTGACTTAAATTTCAAGCCAAGCATATTTGGTAGATTTGTTTGCTCTACAGTACTGCATTTTTAATTTCTCAACTTTGGTATAGCTAGAAAAAAGGTGTATATAAGTATATATCTTAGGGCTAAATGGCACCCATATATACCCACACTCCACATTGTAAATCGAGCCTAAACGAATCTGCCACAAGCTGTAGACTAAAAGCTTGATGTAATCTGACACCCCATCTCTATAATTTGTTGTATGAACGCTCCTCAGCATCATTATTGCGGCTTGGTTCATGGAGCAGAAGCAGAGTTGACTGAACCCTGATTGACCACAAAAAGGCTTTGTTCACTTAATTGTCTGGAGAGGATCCTTATGTGCTTCCCTTGACCATACAGAAGAAAGCGCCTCATTGTTTTACCAGGGTATAAATTATGCAGGGAAACTCAGCAGGTGTCTGTTATAGGTACAGTTTGATGATTCAGTGGCTGCACTGCCTTTCGGAGCATCCAGTTAGAAAAAGGCTTTATGGACTAGGCGAAATATGTTGCTGTGCTAGATGCCGTTTGTCAATTATGAGCTGTTTCTTATATTAGGTAAGTTAATACTTCTGTATTCCTCCTGTCATTGTGAATAAATATCACATTTCTTATTCATCCAAAGAACATATACAGTCCATGGCATTTTTCATCTGATTATGCCGCTGCATCATATTTGAAAAGAGATATATTGTTTTTAGGGAATGTCTACCTCCTAAGTCGAAGCATTTTACAAGGGTTGGGCAAACTGCCATAAATCTAATCCAATTGCCCTAACCGGAGCCTGCCCACAGGGGGAGAGGATGCGGCGAGCAGTTCCACGCCGCCTTGAAATGACAAGGTCTGCATGCTCTTAATCTCATGGCTGGCTTTGTTGCTTTCTCCACACTATCAATACATGCTTAATCATCCTCCTTTTTGTCAGATTGCTTTAAAAACTTTTTAACAAGACAACATAAGGACTGAAGAGGACTTTACCTGATTTGAGGCAGAGGGTAGGAGCATTAGTAGGAGCCTTTCAATTAGTTCCAGCTTGCTGCAATCTAGGCAAAGTACACAACCGTGTATCGTCCTGATGATCGGGCCATCAGAGTTATACAGCCACATGTGTGTTTGCATATTCCGTGTGTTTCCATTCCCCTCTCATGTACCCAACTCTGCTGCTCACCACTTTTTTGTGTAATCACTTTTGAGTAGTTGCCGATACAGGGTACGGACGCAAGTACTTGATTATACCATTTAGGTCTATCAATGAGTTTGATGAGGTCTTTTTACCACAAATGTTTTCCTGTGGACAATAGTTATTTGCAATAGGGATATTCATGAATAGGGCGGCACGGTGGCGTGGTGGTTAGCACTGTTGCCTCACAGCAAGAAGGTCCTGGGTTCGACTCTGCCCAGTGGCCTTTCTGTGTGAAGTCTGTATGTTCTCCCCGTGTCTGCGTGGGTTCTCCCCCGGTACTCTGGCTTCCTCCCACAGTCCAAAGTCCAAAGACATGCTCTGGGGATCAGGTTAATTGGGGACTTTAAATTGCCCGTAGATGTGTGAATGTGAGTGTGAATGGTTGTATGTCTCTGTGTTAGCCCTGCGATTGGCTGGCGACCAATCCAAGATGTACCCTGTCTATCGCCCGAAGTTGGCTGGGATGGACTCCAACCCCCCCCCCGCGACCCTGTGTGCAGGATAAGCGGTTTGACAATGGATGGATGGATATTCATGAATAACTGTTTAACACGGTTAAACAATTAAAATAAATAAATATGTTAGCAGAACTCTAGGCTTCAATAACAAAAGCAGCTGATGTTGGACGCTTTGTTGAATGCCTTCAATAATCAGCTGGCTTTCTTGTGAGGGAGCCCATTTATTTTCCGGTGCGCTACCTTGTAAAGGTTTGTTCCATTTGTTGGTTTGTTTGTTGTGATTTCGCAATGGATTCTGAGAAGACCAGTGACGGCCCCACTGTAAAGCAGCTTGCTCAGTGTACTAAAGCCCAGCTCATGTCGATTGCAGAGCAATACCATCTTGATTTTGTTTCTTAGAAAAGCTTAAATTGAACAGGGAGTTTTGCCCTATGAATCTAGTCTGCCTAATGAGGAGCAGGACTTCTAGCTCTGCTGGTTTAACTGTTTGAAAGGGCGAACAGGTAACATTAGTCTCAAGAGCCTCAATCTGTACGTTTGCGAGAAATGGAATCACAATTTCGGATACGAGGGAATGAAGGCTATTGAAAAAGAAGAGGTGAAGAGGTTTTAGATGGTGAGGTTGACACAAGTACATGAGATAATGAAGGAGTTGAGGTCAAGATCTGAAGCTGTGCAAGCTACATTTTCCACACCTAGTCCTCGTTTTGTAGCTGGGAACATAGCTTCCTCATTTTAGTGGCAGGGAAGTAGAAAGGTACTCTTCCCACTTTGAGCGGGTTGCTACCACCTTAGCATAGCTTAAATAATTCTGGACAGTACTGTTGCAGAGTGTTCTGGGAGGGTCGAGCTCAGGAGGTCTCCACACTCGCACACAGACGGGTGAAGAGAAGGCGTGAACCCACCGTGTTCTGAAGTGTTTTTTCGTGACATTCGGCATCATTATGCAATTAGTGGCATGAAATGGTCTGAAAATTATAGTAATATTGTTTATTGCAGATTGCATGACCCCTTTGCACCATCCATGTTTTTGGATGATGTGGCTTAAAGCCCCATTGCGTGTTGTTTATTTTCAATCTGGCTTGGTTGTGTTCGCCATTTGTCGCCAGCTTCCTATAGGGGGAGTAGACCTGTTTTTAGGTAATGATTTAGCTGGAGGGAAGGTCTTTCCTGCTCCCTGTGGATTGACCAACAGGCTTTATAGTTGACAATTGCCAGAGTGTGAATCTGTGGTCTCTGTCTCTGGTCTTTCCTGCGTGTATTGTAACTCGTGCCCAGTCAAGAAAGTATAAAGATGTGGTGAATTTCTTAAATAGCTCCACCAATGTTGACAGTCTAGAGGTTGATTGTGATCCTTCTGTAACTTCTGAGTTTCCTAGATAAGCTGTCCCCTAACGCTGTTGGAAATGAGTTTACTGAAGTTAAATGGACCAGTCCTGGCGATGTGCCTACTGGCCCTGGTTTAAAAGGTGATGTTGCTGAGTATTGCTGCTCTTGTCATGTGTGTCAGATGGTGGGAAAGCCAAACAAGGTCATTCTCCCAGCTCCATTCATTCCTATAGCAGTAATGGAAGAGACATTTTTGAGATTCCTTCTTGATTGTGTTGGCCCATTGCCCAAGTCTAAATCTGGTCATCAGTATCTCTCTAGACTTTGTGTGCTGCAACTCAATAGGCAATCCCACTACGTTCTCTCAAAGCCAGGTTAGTAGAGAAGGAATTGGTTCAATTCTGTACCACTCCTGGCTTGCCAAAGATTCAAACGGACCAAGGGAGTAACTTTATGTCCAAAGTGTTTGCTCAGGTGTTACAAGTGTTGGCTGTGAAATGTCAGATCTGCAAATGTCCTAACAATTAGTACCGTTTGAAGTACGGGTGCTTTTTTTATGAGTTGCGCCAATTTCTCAGCATACTACCATATTATTCATTTGGTCAAAATGTTAACCTAAAGAACACAGATAAAGAATTGTCTTCAAGCTATCATATGGTCTTTTGATATTTGCTTTTATTTACATATTACATATTAACTAATTGTAGAACGGTGATAGTCACCAAAGCTTAAACAAGCTCCTTTCCTCTTTATATCTCTGATCATAGATGTCGTATAAATAAAAGTTAACATTAGCTGGTTGGTGGTGATCAGACTGGGCCCATGCTCTTTCTCACCCGCTCTGCTCCGCTTTCTCCTGCAGGTGTTTCTAAGTGTGTCTCTCTCTTCACAGGTGTCATTCTTTCTGTTCATTGTCTTTGTGGTTTATACCATGCTGCCGTTCTCCATGCGGGACGCCATCATCGCCAGTGTCCTGACCTCCGCCTCTCACACAATCGTGTTGAGCGTCTGCCTGTCCACCACAGCTGATCACGTGGAACCAGTAGTCTGGCAGGTAAGGCGATCAAGCATAGGTGTAGGTTAACAGAGCACAGAGTAAACACCACTGTGAGCTTGAACTTAATTTATCAATCATTATTTAGTGACTTGAATAATGTATAATTAGTTGTCAGTACGGAATTATAAACTTTCTTGGTCAGATTTAGAAAGGATTAATATTACTTTGTCTGTATGATAAATATGTACTGTAGCTGGAGCCAGCAGCCGCTTGGCTTGGTATAAGAACTGATAACCGTAACAAAGTAACAAGCCTAGCTCTTAACAGTTTGCCGTTTTTATGAGGAGCCTATAAACAATTATGTGCTAGGACCAGTTACTTCCTGGAGTTGGTAACCGGACGAGCCCATAACACAAGTTGTTTTTGTGGATTCACACATTTAGTGGACCTCTCGAGTCATATACTAGTATTTGTATTCAGCATCATCATCTAACTAATTAAATGCTTACGGTAAGTATTGTAATGGTGACAAAATGTATGAGAAAAATCATCATGCTTAATATAAAAAAAAATTTTATCTGATTTTTATCTGTCCCTTGAGTTCGGACATGGAATTTCCATTCAGTCATTGGCAAAAAGCGTTAAAGCCAAAGAACATCATGGGCATTTTGAGATTTGTTGCGTATGTACAGTAATTGATAGTGAACAATAAAGTGTAAATCCTCTTGTAGTGAGTGAAAATCTAACCCTCTTAAATGAGGTAATAAGGATCACCTGTATGAATATAAAAGTAGCATAGCAACGTTCTATGATTATCTTCATTGTATGATCATTTTTTGCTCTTGAGAATTATTTAAGTTATTTTGATCAAATTTAGTTTTCGGGATAATACAAACATGTCTGATTTATTTCTGTCACCAAGAGGCAAATTAAAACTGGACTTTCATTCATGTTGATAAGAATAGCCATAACAGCCACTCATCTCAGAGTCACTGAAAGTTCAAAATCCTCCAGTGACAATGCTCAACTAACCTCAGTTATCTGCTGTCGGGTACCAGTGATGTACTGCTGATTCTCGCAGCTGACCTTTGGAGATTGCTTAGATTACTGTCAGTCTTGTCTTCCAGATGTCGACTAAAAGAGTAGAACCATCTCCACCCCACCAGCCACATATGAGAAGTACCAACATGACATGAAAATGTCCACATGGTTATTTACAGTGTGATAATTAAACATTGCATACAATGTATGTACCACTGAAAACCCTTTTTATGAAGCAGCTTACAGAAGCCTGATTCTCACTGATTGTTCCGGATGTCATTCATTCGTTGTACCAGTCCAAACTCTGTGCTCTGCACACTATTGTATGGCATAAAGTTCATGTCGTTTTGTTGCACTAATGAACGAAGCCAGGCTTTGAAATATCATGTTTTTTTCAATTTGAAGAAAATAACTTTCAGTGTTTGCAAATGAGAGACGACTCATTAAATTCAGTGGACAGCAAAAGGGACGTCTGGCCTAAATACATTAATAAAAGGAGAACATGAACGCAACCATCAGGCTTCACAGAAACATGCTTCTGCCCTTTCATTTGCATTTTTCCAATATAATCGACGAGTAATGTAATGGAGAGACGGGCACATTCAGTGTTTAATACCTGTTTATTTTTTTAAATATCCCTACTGGGAAAAAATAATCCAATTTCATGTTTCAATTCAATTTCATTGTTGTTCTCTCTCTCTCTCTCTCTCTCTCTCTCCTATATATATATATATATATATATATATATATATATATATATATATATATATATATATATATATATATATATATATATCTAGATATAAAAAAAAAAGACCAGTAATATCCCCCATTTGAAATATAACAAACTTGGTAGTTTGTCTTTTTTTTTTTTTTTTGTAAAACACTGAACTGAGGTTATGAGTAATCATTGTTCTGTTGTTAAAGATGGAACAACAGTACTCAAATTCACTGTTGGCAAAAGAAAACCGTATGCTTACTCTGGTACTGTGGGTGGAATTGGATGACACATTTTACAGCTCATCAGCGGTAGGTCCTCATAACGACTACACATATGTCGTGTAATTAATATAATAGACTCATATAAAGTCTTTAACAGTTATAGAGTGAAATACGAGATTCACTGTTTTTTTTACAAACACAAATCTTAAAACAACGGTGGTTGTTAATCTGTTGGACAGATTTCTGTGATGAGAGAGATGGGGCGGCGTGGGAGATTGCATATTTCCATTGGTCAATATGAGGAGAAAGTCAGTATGCTGGATATAAAGACAGATTGCAAGTGACAGGGAAATTGTTAAGAATCAGACTGATAGCGAAACCACAGAAAATGTGACCGTCAGTGAAAGACAGCGCTGGATCTACAGAAATTGTACACAGTTTGTGTATTATCCAATGGGGGAGAACCATTACATTATATTGAGCTCAAGGATATTTGGATAGTTTGTCTAATGGCCTGTGTAGTGCTGCCATGGGAATGCATGCAATGATGTGAATGAAAGTAAAGTGCTGGTTTTAAGTAAAAATAAACACAACAGGGTTCACTTCTCACAAATCACAATTTGCACTCCGCGTATAGTGAAGAGCTCTGTTTGGAGAAACATTTATCTGTATGAGTCATATTTAATACAAACTTCTTGTTTTATGTACAGGATTCTGAATGAAAAATTAGGTATTTGCCTTTGGATGTCAGGTCTTTTTATTTATCCGTTCCTTCTAAAACACTGAAACTAGTGGGGGGAAAACAAAAAAGGTTTGCTTGCGGGTGATGTTGGAGAAAATAAATTGGCAAAATCAAAGGACCAATCTCCTGGTGTAAACGTTTTATCTTGGGCTCATTAGGCTGAGCTGTACTGTGACTCGTCTGAAGGAGGGTGCACATAAAACTGTCAGCAAGGTTTAAGAGCATAATTGTATTTAATGTAGTTGTGTATGTTCTGTGTTTAAACATACTCACATTGGTTAGCATGTTATGGCAGTTTTGAATTTCAATTAAGCCAAAACTAAATGTCACTTTTTTTATTGACTAGATTTGTCCTACCAATGGAAAAACTACAAATGTACCCTTTTGAGGGTCCATCTAATTGAATATTAAATGAATTACCTAAAATATGGCTATGGAAAAATACTGAAATTAATAAATGGGTCAATAAAGGTATATAAATGTGCATTACGATTTAGTTCCAGTGACAATGACACCATCAAAAAGGACTGGCCTCTTGGAATGTGAACCTGAACCAGACTTCTAATTAGTGTCTTCTTTTTCTAGCAGGACACTGATCAAGTCACAGGCCGATGCAGGAATGATGCTGTTTTTAAGGCTTTGAACAATTGAACCAGAGTTGCATCCTATTCACCCATCTACCATTGAACTATACTTTTTTTCTTCTTTTATCTCTCACAAGTTTGGAAATTATTTCCTTTTTGAATAACTGATTAAGATGAAAATCATTCTCTTTTTATAAATTCAATGCCACCTGGCCATTTAATACAGTGCAGTGTTTCCACTAGGTTTACACCTTTTGGGGAGTTTGGGGGCACTGCAGGGCACTGTTCTGGATGTTGACATCACTGCCGGATCTCTGTTACACAGGCCTAGTACACTTACAGGGGTAGTTCAGCTGTTTTTAAATCAGCGTCGTATGAAGCACTTATCCTACTTTAGATTGAGGGGAGGCTTTTAAAATTGTTCATACCAGAATGTTTCACTTAAACCTTAGTTCCCCGCCATAAAAGCTTGTTTCCTGCTGCACTGTTTTCTTATAGGAGAATGACAAAACCTCATTTGATTTGCTTTGGTTTGTAATTGTCTTTACACACTAAAAGATGGTAATGTTAAATGTAATCTGTTTCACAGTTTTTATTTCTATCTAATACCTGCCTTGTTTGTGCTCTGTTTCCATACAGATTGTGGCCAATATTATCATTTTCATGTGTGGCAACATGGCAGGGGCGTACCACAAACATCTGATGGAGTTGGCACTCAAACAGACTTACCAGGACACATGCAACTGTATCAAGTCCCCGATTAAGCTGGAGTTTGAGAAGAGACAACAGGTAAAGTGACATCACAAGTCTTTATCTTCGAGCCATTGAAAGTCTGGTATACATTGAGTGAAAGTATAAGTGAAGTGTTGCTAGTGATAATGAGGGTGTTGATGTCTAATGTCCATTGAATGTGAGAAATTAGAGTGGATTCATTTAAACATCACGGCACACCAAAGGCAATTTGGCAATTGATATAAAATCCACAGCCCAAAAACGTGTTGTTCCAAAAACATTTTCCCTACAACGTCCACCATCTTAAAGTATTTTTTTAATATATCAATGTAAATGTCTCACCAACCTGCATTACGCATTAAATGATTTATTAAATGCTTGGGATTGGGATTGGGGGTGGGAGGGGGGAGCTGAATCCGCTCCACTGGTCACCTCCATATCAGGTGGTATTTTCATTCAGGATTGAAGTAGATGGAAGAGGACACTTTGTTTACCTTTAGGCAATAAAACTTTCCAACCAACATGAGTTACTTGGGATAATAGCCGGATCCTACTTCACAAATCATCCTGAACATCTATTTACCCCAAAACACTTCAATAGGTCATAAACTCTCTGTCCACTAAGACAGGACATTATTTTCAATTCTATTCAGAATTACATTATTAAACATAAGGGGACTTGTGAAATATGGCATTGGTTAACATTCAATGTCTTGAACACGAGATAACATTTTTATAAAACCCATGGAAATAAATTACCTAATTTTTAAATTATTTTCTTTTTTACTGTTTGTAGCAATCTCCTGTCTGTTAGATTTCTTTTTAAACTACATTTGTTTGCTCTGCTGATTTAAAAACCCTTTTAATTCCAAATAATTTGAATGATGTTAATTTATGGATGTAAATCACAATAATACTTAAATCTATTGATGATATGCAGCCAACTAACACATTGTATCCATGTATGTCTTCCTATATGCTTTTTACAATCTTCTGCGTGAAAAGTTGGAATGGGTACAAGAATCCAGGTAAACCGAGGTGTTGCTGCTGCTGCTGCTTACAAGCAGGATGGCTCCCATTTGAAGAATTTGAAGGTGTTGACTAAATCCCACTGCTATGTGAGCCTGGGATGAAGCTGCCTTTTTGCTGTAGCTGTCGTAGTTTTTTGCTTTTGTAGACATTCCGACGAGGAGGAATCCAGCTGTTATCAAAGCCAGGCCAGGCCTGGGCTGTAGTTGGTTCTCCCTATGGTGAATCCAGCTTGTGTTGTTGTGACTTCCATGAGTGAAGCTGAAAAACGCCTTGGGTGGAGCTTTTCCCAATAGCCTGGGAGAGCGACTGCTGCCTGCGACAGCTGGCAGTAACCGTGCAGAGACTCACTTCTCTCGGGCCACCGTAATGTATGCGGTTTGCTGCCTGCTTTTATCTAAAGTGCCTTGCAGTACACTGAGTGCATACATTACCAGTGTGAGTAGTCCTATACTGTAACCCTAGTTACCCTAACTTAATAGTTAACCTGCACATTACTGCAGTAGTACTTGTAGTTGGACAGACAATAAATCTTTTTGCATGCATCAGCTGTTGATTGCAATGTATATTCAAGATATTGATTGTTTTGAAATGCAGTAAAAAAAACAATTTCTTCTGACCATCACTGTACTACAGCATCTGGTCTTTCTGTGTCACTACTACTAGGAGCGTCTCCTGCTGTCTCTGCTGCCAGCTCACATTGCCCGTGTGATGAAGGCTGAGATCATTCAGAGACTGAAGGGACCTAATTTTGGCCAGATTGAAAACACAAACAATTTTCACAACCTTTATGTCCAGAGACATACTAATGTCAGGTATGAAACACCACTTGTATAACCAAGCCGTAGTGTACTTTTGTAAGGCACGTATGTGACACACACTGTATGAAGGGAGTACAGGAATAGTAGTGCAAATGTTTATCCATTCATTGTCGTGTGTGCCAGTGTGTAATATACAAAAAATGATTTTTCCCCATCTCTAGTATACTCTATGCTGATATTGTGGGCTTCACACGGCTGGCCAGTGACTGCTCACCTGGAGAGTTGGTGCACATGCTAAATGAGCTGTTTGGCAAATTCGATCAAATTGCCAAGGTAACCTTTTTCATTTTTGGACACTCAATTATGACACTTCCTAACAAAGTGCTACTTTTGATTTTTAATTGCGAGCGAAACAATATCATTCATACATTACACTCACTGTGTGAGCACTAATGACCTGTGCTGTAATCCCACCTTTTTATCTGAGCCTGTGATTCATCTTTTTAAATGCAGGAAAATGAATGTATGCGGATCAAAATCCTTGGCGACTGTTACTACTGTGTGTCCGGCCTGCCAGAGTCTCTGCCCAACCATGCCAAGAACTGTGTGAAAATGGGTCTGGACATGTGTGAGGCCATCAAGTAAGTGCCGGTTACAAAACAAACAGTACTGATGGTGGGTAGACCTTTGGCATCAGTGATGGAAAATATGTAAAGATATCTGAAATGAAAGGAATGGACACTGATGGTTCCTTCATACTGAATTTTGGAATGAAATGCTTTGCAGTACAACAAAAAATCACCCTGCTGTGCTTCTTGTCTCTGTTAAATCATTATACATCGGGAAACTCCTGTGTCCCCCGTAGCCATTAGAATAAAAAAAAACAACGGAGGGGAACTAAATTATATTTGAGATACATATCAGCACCATTGAGCTCAGAAAGAGGCATTTTTCCTCTTATAACGAGGTATATGATGCATGCAACGTTTTTACTCCGCATTAGTGAGAGCAGATTTTTGTGCTCAATAGGAAAGTGCGTGATGCCACTGGGGTTGACATCAACATGCGCGTTGGTGTGCATTCTGGTAATGTACTGTGTGGCGTGATTGGACTTCAGAAATGGCAATATGATGTTTGGTCCCACGATGTCACGCTGGCAAATCATATGGAAGCAGGAGGTGTACCTGGGTGAGTCAACTGGAAGTTAAATAAACGCCCTTGTTGAACTTTGCATAAGCTAGCTTTGCATACAGGTAGGTGTAGTAAAAAAACTTTTACCTTTTTAATTTATCTGTTCTCTCTGGTTGGTTTCTGTCAATGTGAATTTTTAAATAGAAAGTGAGGCAGTTATTGATGAAACTGTTTGTTGCCAGGCGAGTTCACATCACCTCAGTGACACTGGAGCACCTGAACGAGGCCTACAAAGTGGAAGATGGGGATGGCCAAGAAAGAGACCCCTACCTGAAGGAAAACGGAGTCGTCACTTATCTGGTCATCAACCCAAAGGTACTGTAGCACAACCATCACACTCGGCAAAATGTTTAACATTGACATTCAACAGCAATAATTTAACTGTATTTCCGTGTCAGTGCAGGTGGAGCGTCGGAGCCCACAGCATCATTACCGCTCCAGACACACTATAGACGGAGCGAAGATGAGAGCCTCCGTCAGGATGACACGCTACCTCGAGTCCTGGGGAGCGGCCAAGCCATTCGCCAACCTGCACCACAGAGACAGCATGACTAATGAGAATGGAAAAATTAACACTGCTGTGTGTAAATTTGTTTTCACAACATAAGTTATGTTGCAATTTAGTTGATGGGAAAGTTCAACTTTAGCCTGTGACCCTCTCTTGCTCTTGCTCTTTGTCTAGGATGTGCCGATGGGGCAGTATCAATTCCAGAGGAGATCAGAAAGGCAAGCTTCTTTTGCAGGATTATCGTCCCCCTAAAAGTACAATGACAGTCGATAAGATCTATAATAGGACTAGAGACTTTGTGTCCGACAAATGTTACGTGAATTTAAAAGATATGTACTCTTTTTCTTCTCGTTATCCATTAAAGAACAAAGTCTCAGAAGAAACGGTTTGAGGAGGAACTGAACGAGAGAATGATCAAGACCTTTGATGGGATAAATTCACAGAAGTAAGGTGTTATGTCATTTTGATGGAATTGTCAAAAGAAAATACATACAGAAAGTGTTTTCATACTGTAAACAATGAAACAAAACAATTGCACATTATTGCATGTCCTGGATCCTAATGAGGTGGACTGTGTTGAACCCTTTCTTGCCACTGTTAATAACAGTAACTGTATTCTCGTTATCTGGTATTTAACTACACCTTGCTGCTTACAGACAGTGGCTCAAGTCCGAAGACATCCAAAGAATATCGTTATTTTTTCACAACAAAACTTTGGAGAAAGAGGTACAGTAAGAAGTAGCACAAAAATACCCCCATTGATTACATCAATTTGTTTCCAAGAGAATTACAGAACACATCCGGGCTGCTTGTTCCTTTGCCTACACTTTGCTATCCCTAAACTCTTGTTAACTGCAGGGAGACTGCCTTTTTGTTGAAACTAACTCGTTTTTGTTCTCGTTTTAGTACAGAGCAACAACTTTACCGGCCTTCAAGTACTATGTCACCTGCGCCTATTTGATCTTTTTCTGCATTTTTATTGTGCAGATTCTCGTCCTTCCAAAGTATGTGTGCTTCATTTTATTGTAAAATTGAATTACTGTTGCTGCAATGTTGTACTCTTGTTAGCCTGGACAACTGTATATTTATTTCTATGAACATATACTTTGCTTGTGTTTCTGTACCTTGATAAATAATTTTCAGCTAAGGGCAGCACTGAATTACATTTTACAAGATGATATTCAACTTGCATTGAACCAAACATGCTGAACTTGATGACATTGTATTTTTTTAGGACAACTGTTTTGGGGATATCCTTTGGAACAGCCTTCTTTATCCTTTCCCTGATCCTCCTCATATGTTTTATTGGACACTTTCTTGTAAGTAAACCAATTTACTGCAAACATTTTTTTTTTGGTTGTGCCCTTACTTTAAGTGTCCTTTTGTATTAAAACTTGTACTTAACCAGGAAATGCCCGTTCTCTATTGGTATACCGTTGTGCTAATGTCACAGCAAAGGCCCCTGAGTGGTCAAAAGTGGTCCAAGTGCCCCTCTGATGAGCTTAACAGCCTATGTTGTGGGCCTAATCTACCACCAGTTTTACCTTTGGGCAAAAAGGACTCCTGACGCTGTACATGACCAAAGCGTCCGCAACCCACTGCTTTGCTTCATGTTTCAGGATCAGACAAACCAGTCTCAACTGGATCTTGTAATTCTGGGGTCTAAAGTATTATTTATAATTTTGCATTGTAAATCATTTAGAAAAGGCTGACTTCATTTCAGTCGTATGAGGTATTTAATGGAGGTCAAGTACTACTATAATCTAGTTACTCAATTACTTACAATTAATTACTCAAATACTTTTAATCCTCGGCCGCAGTCGGATCTGTCCACTTGAAGATGGTCTCTCGTTTCAAAAGCTAGTTCAGCTCTCTTTGGGAATATTCACTGTCTAGTAAAAATAATTGAAGGATTAGCAGAAGGAGGGGTGGGAAGAAAATTACTATTATTTAATTAAAGGTACACTATAATTCCATAAGGCACAGGCCTGTACCACATGTCTGATATAAAAGTCCTAAGTGAAAATTTCCCCCAAACCGGCCCAAACAATATTTGCAGAATCATTGGATGATTTTTTTATACCCATAACTCCGTAAACATTTTGCAAACATATTAATATCATATTACTATATAGTGTATATAGTGTCAAATGAAAAGAAAAATAAAAGCCTAATTTTACTGCGAGTCTCTGGATACATACAAAGTTCGGCCTCATTGAAGCGGCAGAAAGAAGCTAGTTAACAAAACATTTTTCTTTGATTCTAATGAAGGTTAAAAAATATATTGTTGTTGTTGAACAGAATGCTTTGTTGGATCCCATTTATGTTGTTTGCTTGTGTCATTATATAAAGTGGTGGTAATTCTGTAGCACGGTTATTGCATGAAGTTTGAAATATATTGCTGTGTGCACCAATTAGTTGATAAGCCCTCTCTTTTCATGATTGTATGCCTGTTGATCTTTTCATCAGCACCACTTCCTCAGTGTTAATCAGTAATCGTGGCTTCAGCGAGTGAACTTGCATTGTTTATTTTTTCACAGTAATTGTCCTTTTGTCAAGAATAATACCTGGTATATGACTGCATATATCTGCTCATGCTGTACATATTTTAATTAATTAATTTCTGCTCTCAAGTCCTCCGTTGTTCTTCGACTCATGTGTTCTTGTATTGTGTGCTGTTATGTGTTTGTGTCCCTGCAGCACTGCAGTAAAAGCGCCTCCAGTTCTTGGATGTGGCTTCTGAGGTCATCAGTCATTATTGCCAACAAACCCTGGCCCCGCATCACCCTCACCATGACAACTACAGCTCTAATACTCATAATGGCAGTCTTCAACATGGTAAGCCTTTATACGCACGCACTGTACTAAGGGAGGAGTAACACCAATTAGGCTTCATTAGAAATGCAGGGTCACTACCCTTAGGATGACGTTCCTCATTAGTAACTGCATTGTAATTGGAAGGTAATGAAATACAACACGTTGTCACACAAACAAAATTAATAAATTGCCTTCTTGAAAACCTAGTGATGTTTAGATTCATTGCCAAATGAAATGTATCAAACAAACTTAGTTAGCAATAATACTGTCTTACTGAGGTAAAATAACTCAAATATTTGCAACAATACAAAAAATATAGTTGTGCCACATCTGTAAATATGGCTCAATCCTCATGGTTGGAGGCAGTGGAGAATTTAGCATTTTGATGTAGTTATCTCAATGCTCTGTTCTCCATTGTGCCACATACTAAGTGGATATTTCATAGCTGTTTATCTTTTGGCTTTCTCAAATACAAACAGTATTGTTTCCCTGCATAATAGTGCAGCCACCATTTGCCTGTAGTGGTAAGGGAGTATCATGCTTTCTTTGTCATCACTTTTAGATGCATCTGGTAGAGGCATTGTTCTATGGGGAAAAAATGCTAAATTTTTTGCGATGTTGCATAATAAATCACAGTGTCAGGACCCTGTTTGAAACCTTCACACAAATCGATTGCAGAGTTCATAATCTTGTTTTGCACCTGACGTGGGTCTTTTGCTAAAAGCGGTGATTCAAATTAAGCTGGCTTTGCTCTGCAATCCTTATTTTATCCTGCAGGCTCCCCTTTTAAAGGACATTATTGAGCTGTTGTCACTATTTTCCTCCAGTGAAAAATCCACAAAAAATGTTCTAGTTCTAATCAAAGACGAGACAAATCCCTAATTTCTGTTAACCTTGTTTTTTCTCTAGTTTTTTTTAGAAGACAATTTGCAGCCACCGGTTCCTGTTTACAATTCCTCCAATGAAACACAGTTTTACACTAATGGCCAACTACTTACGGGCAAAAACAATTTCTACCTTCCCGTAAGTGTGCGTAATGTGTTCATTGTTTTTAATCCTTAAGTGTTTTCCGGTTATAAATCTGACTTTCTTTTCCCTTTTTCTGTCTGTCAAGTATTTCATTTACAGTTGCGTTCTGGGACTCATCTCTTGCTCTGTGTTCCTGAGGATCAACTATGAGCTGAAGATGATTATCATGCTCATAGCCGTTGTGGTTTATAATGTCATTATTCTACGAACACATGCCTCTCTACTTGATGAATATAGCAGATTCCTGTACAAGACTGAAAGCCTGGACAGGTAAGTGCATGACAAACAGATGCTGTTCAAGAGTGTCAAAGACAAGTATGCATATTTACATAATTACATATTTACAAGTATGCAGGATGCATCATAAAAAGTTGAACACTGGCCAGTTTGGATTGCTTTTACGTTTTGTATTCAAGCTTTTTCCTTAGTGCTAATGTTCGGATAAGTAAACGGTATATCAAAAATTTTACTAAACTGCTGAAACTCTGAGAAACGGTTACTGTAACTGTCACAATTCGTTTTGAAAGTTGCTACGAGAAGTTTTGTCCTTTCTACAACTTTGGATTTAACCAAATAAAAATGTACCTTCTACATCACATATGTCAAACTCGCGGGCCGAATCCGTCCCGCCGGGGCGTCCAGTGCGGCCCGCCGCCGGATGACTATTGTGAGAATCACAGAATGGTCCCTACGCACGCGCAGTCTCTTCTGACAAACTAACGATCAACTGAAACACATTAAATGGCTGACATTCAAATCATAGTTGCAAACTCTGCATCCCCCTGCAGCCGAGCCAAACCACGCCCGCCACCACATACCCCCACCGCCCGACTTAGGCCGGGGAGCCATCCGGCCGAACCTACTCCCCTCGCCCTCGAGAGGGCGGGAGAGGAAGTCTACCACGACCATCTGCGCCCCCGGCCTATGGACCACCTTGAAATTAAAAGGCTGTAGAGCCAGATACCACCGAGTGATCCGGGCGTTGGCATCTTTCATGCGGTGGAGCCATTGGAGCGGGGCGTGGTCCGAACAGATGGTGAAAGAGCGTCCCAGGAGGTAGTAGCGCAGGGAGCCGACCGCCCACCGGATGGCCAGACACTCCTTCCGCCTCCTGGCACTGCTCCGACCCCTGGACCGGATCTGACTCACCTTTCCGGGTCAGGTCGGTAAGGGGGCTGGTGAGGTCCGCGAAGCCGGGGATGAACCGCCTGTAATACCCCGCCAGCCCCAAGAACCGCCTCACCTCTTTTTTTGTCTTGGGACGCGGGCAGGCCGCGATGGCTGCCGTCTTGTCCACCTAAGGGCGCACCTGCCCGCCCCCCAAGTGGTACCCTAAATACCGTACCTCCACCCGTCCAACTGCACACTTCCCCGGGTTGGCGGTGAGCCCCGCCCGTTCCAGCGCCTCCAGCACTGCGGCCACCTGCCGCACATGCTCCTCCCAGGTGGTCCTGTGGATAATGACATCGTCCAGGTAGGCGGCGGCATATTCAGCGTGTGGACGCAGCACCTGATCCATGAGGCGCTGAAACGTGGCCGGGGCCCCAAACAACCCGAAGGGAAGTGTGGTACATTGGTACAAACCGTACGGGGCGGAGAATGCCGTTTTCTCCTTGGACTCTGGCGACAGAGGAATCTGCCAGTAGCCCTTGTTAAATCCAGTGTCGTGAAGAAACGTGCAGTGCCTAAGCGGTCCAGGAGCTCATCGACCCGGGGCATTGGGTAGGCATCGAACCGTGACACGTCATTCACCCTGCGGTAGTCCACGCAGAACCGTACAGATCCATCCTTCTTAGCCACATGGACGATGGGGCTGCACCAGGCACTGTTGGACTCTTCTATTACCCCCAACTCCAACATACTCACCAATTCCCTCCGAACCACTTCTTTCTTGTGTTCGGGCAACCTGTAGGGTCGTGACCTCACCGTCACACCCGGGGGCGTCTCAATACTGTGTACTATGAGGTCGGTCGGTCCGGCCTGGCAAGGGAGAGAACACGTTAGCAAACCGCTCCTGCAACCTGGCAACGTCCGCCCTCTGGCTCTTGGAGAGATGAGCCTCTCGAGGGAGCGAGGTATGATTACCTGCTTTTGGAACCTCTGGCCCCAGCTCCTCCCTTTCCGATACCGTAGAGACCAGAGACTCCACCCCCCTCCAGGCTTTCAGGTGGTATATCTGTGTACCCCTGCCCCTGTCAGACCGCACCGCCTCGTAGTCGATGTCCCCCACCTGCCGTGTGACCTCAAAGGACCCTTGCCACTTGGCTAGGAGTTTAGAATTGGAAGAAGGAAGTAATACAAGTACCTTTTCTCCCGGTGTGAATCGTCGCAGCCTGGCCCCTCTGTCGTACAGTCGTTGTTGTCGCTCCTGGGCCTGCAGCAAATTCTCTCGTGACATCCGGCCCAGCGTGTGGAGTTTTGCTCGCAAGTCCAGGACGTACTGGATCTTATTCTTGCAGGGGCTTGGACCTTCCTCCCAGCTTTCTTTAATCAGGTCCAGCACCCCTCGCGGCGTCCTGCCAAACAAAAGTTCAAAGGGAGAAAATCCCGTGGAGGCCTGGGGGACCTCCCGCTCCCTTCTCCATTCCCCTGCAGCCGAGCCAAACCACGCCTGCCACCACAATCTCACTTTTAGTAACATATGCCCTGGTGTTATGTACCAAATGTGGCTTGTTGTTTAAGTCTATTGAGAAGCAAAAACATTTCAAACAGTTTTGGTCACAGTGGCAGAGAACACAGTCTTGCGAGAGATTCAGATTGCTGTAAGTTCTATGCAATTGAGCTGGCCTAGATAAAAGTGGCCATTAATATGCTAAATGTGCTTGCAGAAATTAGGATACGACAGTCCTTTTTGAGTGTTATCAAACATTCAAAGCTTATACTCAGTCTGCCATTAAGAACCAGTTTAATTATGAATTTGAATAACGCCATTTATTTCTACAACTGAGCTGCTCTCCTATAGCAGCATCCTTTTGGACTTTATGTGCAACTCTTGAGTGTTTGAGCTGGAACGCGGGAGTAGTATGTTTGCACGTGCTGGGCATTACATAGCTGTATCCTGGTTGGTTGCCTAAATGCACTGATGTCCTTTTTTTAGCTTTGTGATGGTGAAAAAACAAGAGCTTGATGTATATTCACAATGCAGAGTCTTTGCAGATGGTGGAAACTATCTTGTTATTTAATGCCTGCAGATAAACAAGCTGTCACAGCAAAGCAGAAGTGACAGTCTGAACCGAGGGACAGCTTGAAATACAATAGTCTATTACTCAATTGTGACACATGCAGTGGATTATGATTTCAATTTTAATAAAACTGTTACTTTCATCTCTCTCCATGCATGAACACATCTTTCTTTACGTCTGCCATTCAAGGCCAGGAGTTCTCAAAGACCTCAAGACTATGGGATCTATCTCCCTCTTCATCTTCTTCATCACTCTGCTTGTACTTGCCAGACAGGTAAGTCCGCACAATTACCATGTGTTATCTGCAATGTTCTCTTCCTACAGTTCTAAAACCATTGAGTCTACATTTGGTCTCTTGTATCTATGTGTATGTCTTTATTTCTCTTACAATTTAAGAAGGTTTTCACATGAACTCTGGTCTTTTTTTGCCACTTAAGGTGTGAGAAGCAAATGTTTTTATTTTTGCACACCTCATGCCTCCCTTTGAGAATTCCACAATCCTGTGATCTCTTGAACACCTTAAAGGTCTCTCACACATAAACACAATTGGGTTTGCTATAAGGCCCAGCTGCTCATAAATCAGTGTAACCGGGGATTGCTCCCAGGCCAATGATGTCGTTGGCAAGTATATTCTTCACTAGAACTAGCTTTGGATGTTTACTGTGAATGCAGAGCAAATTGGACTCCCGATACTACTGTTCATAGCTCTTTTTACTGCACGTACCTTTTTATAGCCACAGAGCTTGGGGAGGAAATGGCAGAAGCAGAGAGGATAAAACTCTTTGCCGCATGCTGTGCAAGAGAGGCATTGTGAGATCAGTTAAGGACACTATTGGCCAGTGATGTACAACATCCAGTCTGAAGTTGCAAAAGTGGAATTCACTGCCCGGAAGATGCAAAGACTGTTCATTCATTAGTGTGCCTCTCACTCTATACTAAAGGGTTCTTGACTGCGACCCAGAACTCAGTGACTACTGCCTCTCAAGAGATCCTCTAGAGTACTTGTCCCTACAGTCTTAAACTGCAACAACTCCATGTTAATTAACAATCGCCAACCCATTGTAAGACATAACATTTGGATTCATGGAGAAATTTTATTTTTTGTCTGGCTATTATGGATATACATTATACACGCCAGTACATTGAGGTCATGTAAACATGAAGTGTGTGAGGGTGCAAGTTTACTTTATTTTTATAGTGGACATGCACACAGGAATATTTCTCTTTTCTATCAGAGTTTATCATTAAAAGGGAAGCCGCTTAACCCCTGGGCTCTATACAGGGTGCTTAAAAAAAAGCATGACTATTGCACTTTCATGCCCTGCGCGATCTGTATTGTGTCCGCAAAAGCTTAATGACTACATGAGTGAATAATAGAGAAGCCAACGCTCCACCTTCTACATGCATCCATTGCCTCTTCTAAACTAATATTAAGCGTACAAAAATGGTTGATTTAACGATTTCAAGTGTTGCGGCATCACATAGAAAAGTCATTGGCTTAGCATATGCGCTATATGCATTGTTTCTGAAAATGCTTAAAGCTTCTGTCTAACATAACAAGGAACATGTGATGGTAGCGCTGCTGCTTTTTGATAAAAGCCACACAGCATGTTAGGTAGCTTGAGTTTAAGGTGATATTAGGTGCATATGTAAAAGAGAAAGGCTTTACAGCAAAATTAACAGAGGCAAGTTATTCATCTGCCCAGTCTAAAAAATATTGCTCTGATAGATGCAATGTCTTTGTACCCCCTCCCCTTCCTCTTTGACTGTAACGAGTTATTGTATTTCTAAAATCAAATCATATTCGCTGGCTATTCATTTTTCCATTGGATCAAATTACAAAAATGTATCTCTTTGGTTGACGCATCCTCTTTATGAAATTGGGTGACATTGTGTACTGCTCAGGAAGAAGCGCTTCACCCAATATGAGAGAAAATAACTCACCCCTAAAATTCCCACTAGAGAACGTTATTCATCACCTGAAATATTTTACTCTGTCTTGGGTTACGTTGTGTCCCTCAATGTCTTGTTCCTCTAGTTTCGGATAAATAATATTTTCGTAGCTTTCATTTTGTCATTTAAACAAAATTGCGTAAATCAATGTATTGATGCCGATCTTGAAAGTTGAACTTTTGCTTTGTTTCATTTCATTTTCATTGGTGGAATTTTGTAGCAATTTCTTTTGTTTTTCTCTATGACTTGATGGAAGCAAGTTGTACAGCTGTACATTCAGTCTCTTCACCTCTGTGTCCTCTTGTAACAGAATGAATATTACTGTAGGTTAGACTTTCTGTGGAAGAACAAGTTCAAGAAGGAGTGCGAGGAGATTGAAACGATGGAAAACCTCAACCGGGTTTTGTTGGAAAATGTCCTACCTGCACATGTTGCAGAACATTTCCTGGCACGCAACTGGAAGAATGAGGTAGGCAGCCATTATTTTTCTTTGATTTAAAGTTATGAAGGATGATTCAAATTGTGTTTTGACAGATGGGTGCATTAAAGAAGCATTGTGGCTTTATAGAGGACCTGCAGAACCAGAGGCTTTATGCCCAGATGAAATAAATGCACTGCATAGCAAAGCAGCTTACCTCAAAGCTGATCTATGTTTTAAGTCACTTTAACGTATTGGAACAATGTACATGCTTTATTTGCTGCCATATGTGTTTAATTCCACTCAAATATACATTTATTTAAATGTAAATGTTTAAAGTTGTAAAAAGTGCACAATATATATAATATATATATGAATTAAGCCATCCAGATGGCCACAAATTTATGTGGTATTATAATACGGGTAGATGAAATCCAGCGTGCTGATCGGTTGAGAGTGAGTCGCGGGTGTTACATTGAGCGTTAATGTACAATTGCTGTTCACATTGACCCGAGCGTTCCGTATCACTGCGCACTCAAAGTAACAGGTTAGATTTAGCGCCGATAGTTGACATTTTTGCTTTTAGCTCTGTGGCGATCGGCGAAAAAAAACCCGGAAATCCCACAAATGATTCGGACAATGCAAGCTTTTGCAACCGGACAATTAAGGTGGACGTCATGAGCGATGTGAATGAATGAGAGATCCCGCAAGGAGACCCAATGCTGTTTGCATGCACGTACGGGGACTATTTTTCCTCTAGACTACTGAAATGAGATACAAAACGTTTGGTGGCAACAACTATTTTGTGCTGAAAGGCAGCTATTTACTTACTATTTATAATTTCGCTGGTAACCGTATTATAAAAGCAATACGGTAGTACTTTATCCTCAATAATGTAACCGTTTGGGGGTGTTGTTAGGCTATACTTTATACAGCCTCTCATACCCTATTGCTTTAATATAATGTATTATATTTATATATTTGAAAATGAAACTAGAACATATAATGTAGGCCTATTTTAAGACTAATTTACGATGACAAAAACATTAGGAGACAGGTGGACTTTCTGAATCATCATTTTGAATCCTGCTATTATAAGATGCACAGTGAAGTTTCAGATCTAAAGTAATGTAGAGGACTCTATCCTTTAAGTCATTAGAGTTTAAATAGTAATGATGCTTCTCCGGCAAATATTCTAAATGACGAGTTGGCAAATGACCAGTACTGCACTTGTACACTAGTCTGTGATCATTTACCTACTTTTATTTGGTTGTCTGGTTATGTATTTTTTTTTCATTCAATATATCAGAATTTACCATGTTTTTCATCATGTTTTCTTTGCAGTTGTCCAAACTAATATCTGTTTTTGGTCATGCAGGATTTGTATCACCAGTCCTATGACCTGGTGTGTGTCATGTTCGCCTCCATCCCAGACTTTAAAGAGTTCTACACTGAATCTGACGTCAACAAAGAAGGACTTGAGTGTCTCCGGCTCCTCAATGAAATCATTGCTGATTTTGATGAGGTAAAATCCCACACTTTTGTAACCTTCCCAACATCGTACACGTGCACCACAAATGCTAGAAACAAACCAGGATAGCCTTTCTACCAGGTTTCATTGATGTTCTAACTTAATGTGATTGGGGAACTGTGTCTCATGTGCTAAACGCATCCTCCTGAATTAGTGTCTGTCATGAGAAAAAAAACGTGATGCTTCTTAAAAACCCCATTCCCTGCATACATAATATGGATGCAAATTAATCTTCTAGAAATTAAGCATGACACTATGTTGCATCTGTTGAAACTGTGGGTTGTGTATTCTTCTTTGTGTAGCTGCTTTCGAAACCTAAATTCAGTGGCGTGGAAAAGATCAAGACTATTGGCAGCACCTACATGGCTGCTACTGGGCTTAATGCATCACCTGGGCCTGAGTACACATCCCAGGTAGGCTCATCACACACACAATAAAGTCACCCTCAATAATTTGTGTCGTCACTTTTTACAGCTTTTTCACCCACAATTGCACTAACTGGTTGTTTCCTCACTGTTTCCCAGGAGCATGAGAGGCAGTACATGCACATCGGGACCATGTTAGAGTTTGCATTTGCTTTGGTGGGAAAGCTGGATGTTATCAACAAACACTCTTTCAATGACTTCAAACTTAGAGTTGGTGAGTTGCACATTAAAGAAAATATAACATGGGTTGTGGGGAAACGGGGTATTCGCTCTATAACACCTGGGAATGTTTAATAAAAACAACGATGTCCAACGAAGGAGAAATGTTTGTCGATAACCCACAGGGAAAGATTAGGCTCCGGGTTAAGACCCGAGTAAATTATAGAAGAAACTTTCTGGATGGGCGAAAAGTTGGGTGTTAGCATCTCTGTGCCAGTGGTTGCATTTGATATGAGCTGCAGCCACTCAAACGGTGGAAGGAGGCGGTGGTGGGGGAGCGGCCCTTAAATTCCATTAATCTCACAGTTGGAGAGTTGCACACAGTAACAGCCGTGAAAAGCAAAGTGCTGTGAGGCTGTCGCACATTTTTGAAGCTTCTAAAAACATGCCAGTACTAACCCACCCACTTCATTTCACCTGTCCTTCTGTAACTTTTCCATGAAGTGCCTGCACGGGTTAATTCACTCATTCATTTAAAGCTGCTGTGTTGAGGTATGATCTAACAACCAGCTAAAGTTTTTATTTGATGAGATTTATTGTCATTATTCAACACAGGGAGGCATAACACAATTCATTGGTAGCCCATTTGTAAGGCAACCATTGTACGACACATACAAACAGTAGGACATTCCTGTAGTGCTTTTTCTTACTTGCATCATAATGAATATAAACAGCAGCAACAAATACAATTCCCTCTGGAGATTCAAAATTCAACATGAGGAAAGATTGTCAACCAACATTGACTGATGTTTGCGTACCAAGCATCATGATATAAACACAGATTCTCATCCCACGTTTGCTCGACAGTCAGAGTTCCCGCTGCTTCCATTAATCGTATTTCACTGCGACCTGGCTGGTTACTGGAACAGCTTATGTCTTCAGCAGGTTAGCTAAGCTTCCATCTCAGCTCTCCCTCCTCTCCTCCCTGAAGCAGTTGAGTGGGTCGTTTGCTCCGGCGTGTCTGGTCAGTCGGCCGCGGGTGGTGATGGTCTGAAAGGCCGGTGCACGTAACCCAATCCCCATGCCTCTTTTTCAGATGTTGATCGATTTATTCTGTCATATGAAAAAAAATGTACTGCATAAAACTGAAAATGCTGCAAATTCATTGGAGCCACCGGCCGATGTATCTTCGCCAGCATTGGCATTGCTAACTTGGCTCATTTATTTTATATTTTCATAATTCGTAGTAGTTTGATACATCGCATAGGGTTTGCTTGGATATCGAGTCCTTTTATGTTCTGTTGACATTGCATGTACATTTGGCCTTTATGCATCCATTTATTTCTGGGTGTCATTTCATTATTTTGACTGAAGCACAGAGATTTCCTCTACTGAAGGGGAAAGCACGGGGCAGGTCCCAGCTCCCTGCATGCGGTCAGAGTTCAATACCTTCAACCTGACAGCAACCACTGGCTGGGTGCTGCCTCACTTGCGCAGATTGCAATTTCCAGCACTTCTAAAGATTGACTCAGAAGCCAGAGTGAGAGAAGCCCGGTGTCATCTGAGTGCTGTGAAAGGCGCCACAGCTTGCGTAGCAGAGGTGCTGCGACGACTGGGGATTAAACTGCATTTAGCTTCCACGTCATCTCATGTTCTGAAGGGATCTTGTGAAAAGCTCTGTTCATTTTTGTTCTTGCTGAAGGTCTTTTTGAGCTGCACTCTGGCTGCAGTCAGTGATTAATCAGAAGGATGTAATGATGCTCTTGTATGACATCAGAACTAGAAACAAAATAATAATATGCTTGTCGTTTGGATTTAGTGATGCCTTTTTAAAAACAACATTCTCTGGTACGTCGTTTAACAAGTAAAACATTGAAATGGCATTAACTGTAATCAACCCTAGAGTGCTATTCATCCTGTAAATGTACCATTTAAATATTGTACACCTGGAACGTTAACTCATTGCTTGGTTTCATTTGTCAGGTATCAATCATGGTCCAGTAATAGCTGGAGTCATTGGAGCCCAGAAACCACAGTATGATATCTGGGGGAACACGGTGAATGTAGCCAGCAGAATGGACAGCACTGGAGTCCTGGGAAAAATACAGGTAATAAAAGGATATTGTGCAGTTTTCTTGTCTCACATCCAACAAAAAGCCCCAAGACGTGCCATGTTTTGATCCTAACACATGTATCGTTTAACCGATGCCTGATAGCATATTACTCTGCTGGTGTCCCAAAACTATTGCAAAAAGCAATGAGCCACACTGTTGTGCCTGTTGACATGTTCATCGCCATTGGATAATATTATTATTTATTAACGAGAAGAAAATCGTCTTTAACCTGCATTCCTTTTATTGGCAATCAGTGTGCGACAACTCTGGTTAACTAAATCTCCCTTCTCATTTACTTCAGTGAACTTTATAAACACTAGTTTTGTATTCTTCCTCATAAAGGCTGGATTGTCATTACATAGATCAGGGGTCACCAACCTTTTTGAACCCGAGGGCTACTTCATGGGTACTGAGTCATACGAAGGGCACCCATTTTGATACACTCTTCTGAAATAACCAAGTTGCTCTGTTTGCCTTTAGTTCTATATTATTAATGATTAATGATACTCATCTATGTGAAGACACTAATCATTTTACAAAATAATCTTTTACATTTCATGAATACTTTATTGAACACAAATTTAAATCCACAACATTTCATGTGAAAAATCTTTTTATTTCACTTGCCAGTGATAAACCCTTTTAACAAATCATTAACTATGTATTGCACCTTGTTTGAAAAAGTGATCAATTATGTAATCTTTAAGAAAAATCAACTTACATATTTTCAAATACATCTAATCACATTTTGAACAAATGACAAAGTCTGCTGAATTTTTACAAAATGATATCTGTTACATTTCACTAACCCTGTTAAAATGAACACAATGTATCCAATTTTTGATTCAGCTTTGCAACTGACATCATCTGGTATCTTGTTTCATTGTTAGTGGGAAGACTGGCATTGCATGCTGTTCACCAGTGTATTGTAGTCTGGTGTGTAACTTGACACTGCAACTCTGAGTGAGTCTTGCAGGTGTGCATCAGTGAGGCGGGTTCTGTGTTTGTTCTTGATGACGTTCATGTCAGAAAATGCTGATTCACAGAGATAGGTTGAACCAAACAGGGTGGCAACCTTCATAGCTGCTGTGCTTACACCACTGTACTTTTCTGTGTCAACAAGGCTCCAAAAGTTTGGTGCAGCCTGGTGGGCTTTGAGGTGCAGGTCATTTTGCAATGTTACAATTTCAATCTCCACCTGTGCAGCATCCAAGTTGAACGTTGCACTTAGTTGCTCAGTTATGTCCTTGTTCATGAAAGGATTGGAGATGAATGAGACACATGGCTCAAGCTGATCAAGGTCACAAAACCTATCCTCAAACTCTTGTACTGCTGTTGTCCACGGACTCGTCGCACTGTACGCTAAAGCACCTGCACCGCGCCAGATCCCGGTCCAGCTGCTCGGCCAGGTTAGTTAGACATAGCTGACACCCGTCTAGTCATCGTCGATGCCCCCGGTTGGACATCGGAGAGAGTGGAGATTAAATCGGTTCCATTTTTCTCGTCTTTAAGTACGGTGTTGGCAATAATCATCATTGCTTCTTTGAAAACTTCAGTCTGAAAAGGCCTCCTTCTTTATCAGGAGATGTGCAGCTCTTTCTGCTGCTTTCCCAAAGCTGCCTTTAGCTCAGAGGCTTTTTCTGCCCGCAGCGCGCTTCCCGCGGGGTAGTTAGCTTGGTAGCTTTTGTGTGTAGTGTCTCTCCACATTGTGCCGCTTTGCCGTCGCCACAGTCGCCCCGCAAATGAGAGACACGCAGTTTTCTTTCACACATGTAAAAAAGAATTCTTCCTCCCATTCACTGTGAAAATGATAAGTTCTCTTCCTTTTTTCTGCCATGTTTTTTGGGGTAAGAATGTGCGTTCAGCTCTGCATCATTGCTGTTCCCGCACTCACCTTTGAACTAGAATAGGTCAGAGTTCGACTAAATTATCAAAACTTTAATGTATTATACAAATATTTTTAATTTTATTTTAAATATCTTGTCATTTTCATTATACATATAATGCAAGTGTGATTTAAAAAAATAATTTATTTTAAATATTTTTTTAGACCGCTCACTAGTGGTGAGTTGTGCTATTTTTAGAACAGGCCTGCGGGCGCCCCGTATGGTCCTTGCGGGCACTGGGTTGGTGACACCTGACATAGATTATGGATCTATGTAATGACAATCCAGGATCTAGTCTAGTAGACAGTTATGGTGGGACTATCTTGTAATTGCAAGGACGCTACTGCCACTGTTGTTACTCAGCGTCTCTACGTCACTCCTCCGCTCTCCAAATATTGTCACTTCTGTTCACTAGTTGCCAAAACAACAGATTGTGTCCATCAAAATCCCAAGACACTGAACACAAGGCTTTAAAACTGCAGACTATAAACCAATGGCAACTTCTTCTACATGTGTTTTTGGGTTGTCGGTCCGAGACCAGCTGAAGGGAACATCACCCTGGACAGTGATGTTCTGATTAGAATGCAGAGGTCAGAGGTCATTGCGCCCTCATGTCCGTTCAATTTGTTTGAAATCTTAACAATTGTTACAGATCTATTTTTCTAAATAATTGTCAAAGATGCATTTAAGAAGAGACTAACTGACTGAACATCCCAGTTTCTTTCAAAGCAGCAGCGCCGCTCCATTTTCAACGTCTGTACAGATGTTTAAAGGATAAAGGAATAATCTCCTTGCTTGTGCTGTTCATGGTAGCAAGGAAATCATATCTTGGGACATCTTTAAATTTTGCGTGTTAGGCTGTTTTGGGCGCTGAAAAGATATAATGGGTTTTCAACTGCATGACCTGTGGCTGTCAATCATTTTGTCCTCCGAGCTGTATACATTTCTTTGCCTGCACACATTGGATAGAAACATCTGCTTTGCTGAACTGTAGTGCTCTCATTTGCGTTCCAAGATGTTATTTAAAGCGGAGTGATGTAACTCACAATCATGTGCTTGTAATTATGTTTTGTTTTAGAAATTGTTTAGAAATAGTTGTACTTTCTTCTGTGGAAATGATTGTTTTCAGTATACATTAACTCTGATGTGCCCACGATTGCTTAAATATGAGTGTAGAAGCAAGAAATGGGGTATTCCAGGGTAACTAACAAATCCCCGTCCTGTGTGGTCGGATGCAGCTCAACATGCGTACTTTTACAATCTTCCATGCAATTAATTATCAAAGTTCGGGTTTTGACAAGACTTAATATATGGTCACTAGCTTACCTTAGAGGTTTGTTGATGCGCAGCAGGGTCCTCCTATAAGTGTGTCTGAGTTAAGTCATCAGATGTTCCATTTAGCTTCGCGACATTTATTAATCTAAAACCTTGAGTATTTTTGGCTGCAGGAATCAAATTAATTTGTATGAGATGAGCAAAACTGACGTCACCAGTCTGGTTCTCCCCGTAGGTGACGGAGGAGACGAGCCGGATCCTTCTCACACTGGGCTACATGTGCTCTTGTCGAGGCATCATCAACGTCAAGGGCAAAGGAGAGCTCAAGACCTACTTTGTGCATACGGAGATGACCCGCTCAATGTCCCAAGGGAATGTAATGCCGTAAGACTGGTTCAGAAAATTCTTAAGTTACACAAGCGACAAGAACAAATGTTTATTAAAGATGGAGCTGTATTCTGCTCACTGCTGTTACACAAAGGAACTAGGTCTGCCCATGCTACAGCTGTAGTACACATGGAGTTACTTACTTTATGTAACTCAGGGTAGCATGTACAGCAATAAGCCAGGAACTATATTTGAAAAGAATGTTTGGTCCAGAAAAGCCCCAGTGGCACACAGATCACTTTGCTTTTTTTCAGCAGGTTGCAACAAAAACAAAATCTGTATTTCAGATGTCAAACAATGTCCATGAAGTAGAAGATAAACAAACTTCCACTTTTCCAACCAGGCCTCTTGAAAAGAACATCCAAGACAAGAATTATCAAGTGAACACTACAGAAACGACATGCTGGTGTGAATGGCTATAAGGACCTCTGCTGACCTGAATAATCTTTAATCAAAGGGAGCAGCAGTTGGACAATCGGATGTTAAAAGGGAAAAACCACTGTTGCAAAGGAGAAGAGTAACATAAAAAAATAGCAGCCCGTCAACCTTGTTAGAAGCACGAAGTCTTGGATGTATTTTACAGGCAACACATGAAATGGAAAAGCATGAATATATTGTGATATTCATGCAGGATTTAGTTTCCCAAACCTGTCTTTGCAATTTAAATGTCATCGATCGTTTACGATTGTTGGCATTCTGTAGGTCGTGTACCTGCTGTTTAGACAACACTGAAAACAAAGGGATGAAGACTTATTTGGGAAACCCGAAGCTGATCTGTGTACAGGGTGACTTTAGACGGCAAATGGTACGGTGGTTTTGTAACAAAAGAAAATGCTACCCAAAGTGTTTTATGATGCAATTGTTTTTTGTAAAAACTTCATTAAAATTTCTATGTATATTTGTTATTATTTAAAGTGAATTTCTGCAAACTTGATTGGCCTCTGCATTAAATAGTTTATTTAAAAAGATAAGCTTCAGTCGCAAGGACCTTTCTTAAGACCAGATTGGACTCTTTTCATTGAATTGGCTCTCGGGGGAATTATCCCCCTGCGCCACGAAGCAAGTGGTGTGTCATCTTATTAGCCATGTTCTTAAAAAGGAGCAGCTCGCAGCATATTAACATGACAGTCCTGTGATGTGCCTTTGATTAAACAGCAGGATGATAAAAATATCCCTGCGCACTGGATTGATAATCGTATTAAGCACTGTATAGATGACTTTGGGCTATATGCGCCTGGAGAGTAGATCGACGGACACAAAGTGTCTCAACTAATCATCGTCAAAGTTGAATTCTGCAGTTTCCAATTACAGTCACACAATTCATGAAATTGGGTTAAAATTAGTTGATTTCAGACCTTAACGCAAATGCAGCAATCCTTTGATTTAACTCAATTTTTGCGCTTGTATGTAACATAGTATAATAAAAGAAATGCACCTATTTTAATAGAAAGTACTGGTTATCTTCTGATAGTGTAGAGACACTGTGGCTGTAGAAATTCCTCCTTAGACCTGTTGACTAATGTAAAAACATTCTTTCCAATTACGTTTTTCACTTTAAGATGGAATACATTGTGGGAAGGACTAAGGGAATGCTGTTGTTCTCAAGGTCCTTCTATATTCAACAGGCTCTTTCCCATTTGCTGGAAGCACTGGTTCCCCTACAGTCACAATTAAAGTAGACAGCTGAATATAAATGTATAGTGGAAGCGATGGTGACGGCTGTTCATTTTGCTCGTTGGGATTGTGGCTAACCTGATACAAGATGGGCTTTAGTGTGTCATAAGGAAGCTGCTATTTGACGTCACATAGGAGGGCAACACCCCGTAGGATCCAGTAGTCCGGAGGAAGCGAAGTCCTCAGATCAACCGCTTCGATGTAATTCACGTCCGTCCTAACTGGCTTCTTGTAGATGGGACACGAGTAGAGGCGAGAATCCTTCACACCTGCGACAGAGAAACAAGTCTCACCAGATGCTCAATAACAAAGCAAAAGCTGAGGAAGTTATGTCTTAATTAGGGTCATAATTAAAAATCCTTTATAACTCGAGGTATTTAAATCGATGAGATGCCAGTGGGACACCCCGGTGTGTTCAACAGAACATCTGTTTCTATAAATTGGAAGCCTGCACAAATCAGGCAAATAACTCATTCAAGCAAAACATGCGGCTGTTGCGGAAGTTTCCCCAAAAGTGAGTAAATCATCGTTGACTCCCATGATAGCTGGTTAGTTGTTAGCCTTTAAATGACAACACGCTCAAATCCCTCCCTGCCCCCTTTCTCGCAGAGGGGTTTTCAAGACATGCCACACACATATATTCAAAAAAGCTTTGGCAACCACGTATCCCTCCTCAGTGACACACAGCAGGAAGCCCACTTGTGGGAAAAGCTGGAAGTGGACCGGTTGTAAACAAACGGTATTACTCATATTGTCAGATATACAGCCTGATCTTATCTAGAACAACCCCTGCTACATGCAATCTATTCTCAGACAAAATGAATACCACTTGGTCTGCTTGACATTTAAATGTTACAGCCGTCATTCTTGTTGACGCGTGGGAAGCAAATGTTGAGAAGTTTAGAGGAGGGTTAGAAGTGATTGATCCCACAGGAAAAGACTGGAGTTTTAAATTCAGAGTCGGACGCATCCTCAAAATTCACTTCTTAGGAATCAAATGTTCGAAGAAAATCCATCTCACCATTATTCTCGGCGTACATCCGGATGACGGGCATCATCTCGAAGAGGACTTTGGTTTTGGAGTCGGCGAGCTTGCAGCCGCGGCGGTCCCAGCCGGCTCCCTCCAGGTAGAGGCCATAGACGTACACTCCCTCTGTGGGGGGCTGGGTGATATCGTCCTTCATCCACTTGGTCACCTCGTTGCACAGCACCATGCGGTCCAGGGCCCAGCCCTTGTTGGCCCGAGTGATCTCCTAAAGGTGCAGCGACAAATCCACCGGTTAAAGCCGCTATGTGACATTCGGAAACCGTTTTAGCGGGACAATTGAAAGACGCACTCCATTAACGGATTGGTTTTGCGAGATGCTGTGCCAACAGAAAGATGAAACCCAAAATGAGCAAAGGCAAAGAATAATAAATACATTAAATATCAGTTGTATACCCTCAGTCATTTATCCGCATATTGTATTGGGCAAAATTGGACCAATAGGACAGTGTCTCCTTACAAGCTAACTGACAAATTATACTTTGGCAAACAAATAAACAATAAGCCCTGTCAATGGGCGCCTATAGTCACAATATTGTCTGCAACAACTGGGATTTTTCAAGTGAGATAAATATCCCAAACCTTTTTGGCCTCACGGACCAGTTTCATGTAACCGGTGGAGGCAACAAAGCGCTTGGGAAATGGGTTAAAACGGACAAGCACGTGTAATTGGGAAATAAAACATTTTTCTGAAAAATCAAATGAAAAAAAGTCACTATTCTGCAGCCCGGTGACAAGTGGCCCACGGACCGGCTCCCCGCGTGCCATCTGGTTCTCTGTGGCGGTGGGCCCGATGCCGTGGTTACCTGTCTCATTGCTGTCAGGAAGCCCTGTGGGTTGAAGAAGCCCGTCATCCAGAAGCAGTGGGGCCGCCCTTCAAAGATCCAAGCCCGGAACTGCCGGTTGCGCTCGAGCAACTCTGTGAACCAGAAGCCCAGGGTGCTGGAGGCCCACGATGCCTAAAACACCAAGACAGACAAACAATGTGAACAAAACACTACTAAGCAATGCAGAAAACTGTTATCCAGACAGATGATGGGAGGAGACAACAGGGAGACACATGCAAACTAATGGAGTGTGAAGCTCCGCGTGAGAAAGAAGAACCAAGTCAGTATACAATACAATACAGAAAAAGAGGAGAATGGGGGCAAATGTGCCCAAGGAAATGGAGCTGCAATCTGAATCCCAGTGAGGAAGCTATTCAATTCTAAAACAACCTAATCAGGGATGTAATGTTTTGAGGCACAACTACAATGCCAACAACACTATTTCAATACAGTTTACTTTGTATTCCTTTACTTCCCTTTTCTCAACATTAATCGCGTATCAAATCGTCTGGTAAGTTTATTAGAGGGTGAAGATAAATGAAATGATTGAATATCTGATTTTGGAAATAAACTAAAACTTTGATTTACTTGACAAAACTAACATTAGAGAAATTATATCTGCAGTGTGATAAAAACGTATTGATTTATGACTCCGAACTCCCTCAAGTGGCGTTTTAGTAACGATTTACTAAATGCAACTACGGAACTAACATTGGCGGCTATTAATTAGGTCTTTTGCCATTTGTAAAGCGACGAAAAAGCTACTAAAATGAAGAAAAGAACCTGTGGTCAGCGTAAGTGTTGCTGGCAGAGGAAATAAGGGAAAATAACCTCATTGTTTTTTCGCGTGACGTCCAGATCATTTTCAATCTACAAAGGAAATGCGAATGTACCCGCCAGGAAACCATGAATTGCTTTGAGTAATATTTCGTTAAGGGCACGGTGGGTTCACACTTTTTTTTTTGTCCAATTACGCCAATTCTTCAAACCAACCTTCTTCCAGCGGGCAGGAATGCGTGCGTCATACATGCAATCTAGGGCATCCCGTAGATTTTCACTCATGATGATGGTTCCATCGATGGCCAACTTGAGGTCCGTCAGCGTGTTTCTGACCAGAACTATGACCCTCTGCATCCGATCGATCTCCTGACGCAGGAAGATGTTCATGGGCTGGAAAGGACCCATCTTCTGGAGGCGCTCTCGCACCTGGTTACGTTTGAATGAAACCAGAAGATGAAACTTTAATGATTCTCGTGAAGGATTTATAGTGCATGCAGGCTCGGCGTGTTGATACAGACAATGGTGTTCACAAGTGCTGCTTGGATTTAGCACAATTCTATTGACCTTCACTCAACATTAAACCTTAAAATACCCATTACCTTAATAAAAATAATAATAAAGAAGTGTACAAAAGTGGAAGTGCTGCATAAGCCTTTCTCTTGTCTGTATAAAAGATAGAAACTCAGGAGCAAGGACGGGATGTTTCTCCAGTGACGAATGGGTTCTTTTATGAAATATCGCTTAAAATTCATTCAGATTTTTTTTGCACATCTTTTGCATCTTACCTCACTTTCTACTATGAAAATAAAAAAGCAGTGAAACCACAAATAAAACAAAGCGTGCGTCGTGTTCATTTGCACGTGCTCACCTCAAATGGTACGTAGTCAGGAGGCAGTTTCTCCAGCATGTCGTCAGCCAGCCTGGACACCACGGCCTCTCTGGTCTCCCCTCCGCCCGACGAGCTGTCTTTGGGCTGGATATTGAGGATGGTGTCCAGCACGTCTTTGGCCAGCTTACTCTGGTAGGTTATGTCGGCGTTTGGGTGGAGACCAAACACCTCCGGAGTGTCGCAAGCCGGCAGAGACTGGAAACGAGAGACGACACCGTTGTTGTAGCAGAGGGACTTTATTGCAAAGATGAAGTGCTGTGAAAGGACCTGTGTGCCTCACAGGGAGCTGGCTGAAACCGGCTGTCTCAACAATATGGTTTTATTCAAAGAATAAAAGCTGCCCTAAAAGGGTTAAACAATAGTTATTGTTTAAACTTTTTTGGGATTAAAATCAGGGCTAAAGTTATTCTGATACAGACTTTTACTTTAAAAGCAACAAAAAAAAGCAAGCTGATGTCAAAATGTAGGATGACAAGAAGATGGACCATATGATACTGCATTAGGATTGATGAGATTCCTTATGAAACTATTCAAACTAACACACTTTTTAAGGTTCAGTGCAAATTTTTGAAAACACAATATTAGACCATTTCTTTGTATATTATCAGATTTCGTTCTGATTTCTTTGCTGACACACACAGACAAATTGGAGGAGATGGAGATCGTCACTGTGTGCTGGACTCAATATAACTG